TTTCAATATATTCTATGTCTCGATTGCCTTTCCAATATTGCTCTAGAATTACGAATGGATATACATTTTATTAACACATTTTATTAGTACGGTTTTTGTGTTGTGTGCAATATGAATTATAAAATGTTTACACTAAAAATTAATTAATTTAAATAGAAGAAAACAAAATTAATATTAGAAGGGCAACTGTAATCATTTTTATGTTATATATTTTAATTAATTAATTTATTTATGTGTCTTAATATATTAATAAATGAAATGCTCATATTTTTTTAATGGTTAACTGGAATTTTGCAACATATTTCCAGTGAACATTCACAATAGATTGATTTTTAAATTTAGCAGCACTAAAACCTAAGACCAAAGAATACCTTACAAGAACGGCAACTCCATTGTGAACTAAAATTTGTTTTTTCGCACAACAACAATTTGCCGTAGAGCTCTTGAAAGTGTTAGTGAAAAGTGCACTAACACCAGCTGAAATCACTGAAATTTTTCACCTTTTCACCTTTTTCCGATGCTTCGAGTACTTTTGAGAACGGAATATTTCAAAAAGTTTACCATGAAGAGTGTAAGAAAGAGTGTGGTTTTGTTTTTTGGTTTTGATTTTTTGAGAGTAATATAAAATTTCGTTGCGCCAAATCATACAAAATTTACTGCGCAAATATTTAACAAAAAGTAGTTAAAATTTTGCAAACACTTTAATAGCAGTTACCAAAAAGTAGGTATAGCACAATTTTTATACCAAAAATTAAAAAATATACGTCCATATGTTTGCTGTCAAAACTGCAAAACAGACAGTATTTTAACTCTTTTTATAAGGGTACGCATATATTTCCTGTTAAAATTTTTTAATAGGGTTCTGAATACACCTGACTATAGGCAAAAGCTCTTGCGTGTAACGCATTCATAGGCTTAGTTTTCCATATGATATTCAGTTGACTTTTACATATAAATTAAATTTTTATTTTAATAATTTTTTTGCTTTTAGTTTATGTATATTTTAATTTGCAATTAATTTTTAAAAGTATTGTAATTATTATTCTGTTAATTTTGTATTTGTAAAAGTCTGTAAAAAATTATAACCAATATATAATGGTGGATATGCCTCTTGGGGAACCGGCACATAAACTCGGTAACGCACCTTTATGCATACCTCTTGGGTGGTGTGGAAAATGCATACCAAATCTTGAACTTTGGTCGAATAAACTACATAGCTAAATAAACTAAATGTAGAAATAGGAAAATACAAGGGATGTAAAAAATTTGTTATAGTTCTTTTTTTTAATTTTCACACAATAATGATGAAAGAAAATTAATTTTCATTTAATTTCTATGCATATTTCTAATAAAACAGTTTAACGAAAGTATTTTACTATTTATTATAAAATATTAGTAAGTGTGCATTTTATATTCACATTAAGATAAAAATATTTAAAACATAAACATAAGGCGCTACATGATAATAATCATATCCCAAATAAATTTATGTTTTTAAGGTCATTTAAATTCTGAAGAAAATATTCATATATTCTATACATAATCAACACAAATAAAATAAATGTTTTTAATATTTATATTATGTAAAAATTTATAATATTCATCAAGCAGATGAACTAAAAATGTATAGCATACATCTCGTTTAAATCTTGCATTAATTCTGGTAAATAATCAAGTCTATTTCATTTCCTAACAATAATAAATTATGTAAACAACTTGTACTTCTTTTAATTAAACTTAGCTAATATTTTTAAATACTTTAGTATTTATATATAAATATATTTTATAATCATAGTATAAAATAAAAATTTTTCAATATTAAAATTTAAAAATTGTTAAAAATTATATAAAAACATATCTTCATAAGAAAAACGCATAAATCCGACAATGAATGCGCATGCACCCACTCTTATCAATAGATTTTTCGCTACTGATCACACACTAATGTACGTAAATTAATAATAAGTATTATTCACCACATACATTTAGAGCGGATGCGCGCACATCCTCCCTTATCAACAGATTTATTGTTACTAATCAATTAGAAATGCATGCAAGGCAATGATACGTACCACACATTTAAAGGGAATGCGCGTACACCCTTCCTCATCAACATATTTTTTGGCACTAAATTTAAAAATTAAGTCTTCGCAGAGAAACACAATTTATCATGGATCACTTAAGTGCTGCCGTATAAAAAAGTGAATTGGTAGTAGCTTCAATCTTTGTTATTAATTTCACATCAAAACGGTATTTAATGCTATTATATCAAAATTGATTTTGAAATAATGTTTTACACTCTCAAAAAATATTTAAGAAAATATAACTCATTAAATAAGAAATATTCAAAACTGTTTGTTTTTATTTAATTAAAAAATTTGCTTCTACAAAAGTTTGTTGCCGAACGTAATAAATTAAAATACTATAAAATTCATATGAAAATAGCAACAAAAATTAATTTACTGAATATATATTACATTATTAAACAAACTAAACTGATTTAAATTAATTGATTCAAATTATTATATATTAATTTATAAATTTATTTATCATATATTACTTGTTACAATATATATTTTGTTTACGTAATGTAATATTATTAACCAAATAAGGAAGCATAAGTTTTTTATATTACTAAAAAGTTAACATATGATTAACAAGTAGTAGCAAATTATTATACTGCAACCCCAAAAAGAGAGCAATTTGATGTTATCGTGGTAAGATCACATGTATTTAATACGTGTGCCGAAATGTTATAAAAAATAAGTTTTCAAAAACAATTTCAAATGCACTCTCACGAAGTGGGCGGAGTTTCCGTTCTTGTAAAGATATTCTTTGCTTAAGACGTACAATTAATAGCGAGTAAAACCTAACTATGTAAATATTAGGAGCATTGTTGTTGCTTCACATTATTTCTTTTGTAAGTTGCGAGTATTTTTTTGCTACTCTGAAAGAAAAAATTACGGTTACTATTAATTAATATTTATTAATTAGTTCTTATCCTGATGATGACTATCAAGGAGATGATGACTATCAAGGAGACTCGAAATATCGAATATATTAAAAAATATTAAACTAACATTTAATTAGGAAAATGTGACCTGTAGCCGGAGATATATAAAAAAAAATTATTTCAATAATTTTTACTTTATTCAAAATACAACACACATAACAAATTGTATTCGTATACAAAATAGCCGAATATGAAATATATAAAAAATATTTTAATGAACCAAGTTCTCAACAAATTCAAAATTTAATTGGTGATACAATTTAATTGGTGATAACAATTAAAAATAAAAAATATAATTAATTAATTAATTCAATTATTCTACAGCTGGTTTATGATTTCGTTCTAATATATAAATACAGCAAGTAAAATTGTTAATAAAAACTTTCATAGCAAAAGTAACAAAACTCCAGCAAAAATATGCGAACATAAAAAGTCAAGTACGGCTTTGGATCAGTTGGTTAAGGTGCGCTGATTCTGAGCTTCACATTTGGCAGGACCCGAGTTCGATTCCTGGTACTTGCAGTCTCAAAAATAATTATTTACGAATAATTAAATATAAGAATTATTTCCAAGACCACTGATGAAGGGTATTTGGCAATACTCGAAACAGCTGTATGGTCAGCCAAAAATTCAATTAATTAAAATAATTTAAAAAATAAATTTTTGTTGTTGTTTCACTTCTGTTCGAAAACCTCTTGATACAATTTATGTTAGTGTTCTTTATTAGTTTCAGGATTAGCAATATTTTTATCTGAGTTAGGGGCTAATTTTGAATTTAATTTGAATAAAATTATTGCATTATCTACATTACGTTAATTAGGTTTAATAATGAGAATTTTATCAATAGAATTTTATAAATTGGCTTTTTTTCATTTATTAACTCATGTTTTATTTAAAGCATTATTATATATATGCGCTGGGGCGATTATTCATAATATAAATAATATACAAGATATTCGTTTGATAGGAGGCTTAAGAGTTTATATACCTTTTACATGTAGATGTTTTAATGTTGCAAATTTAGCTTTATGTGGAATACCTTTTTTAATTGGATTTTATTCTGAGGACATAAAAATTATTGTATATCAAAACTTAATCGAAAAATTAATTTTTTGCAACCCTGAAAGAGAACATTTTATTGCATTGTTTAGTCACTATTACTACTTACGCGTACCACCTGTAACAAAATGTTAAGAACTTTGTTGAGAGTATTTGAACATTATCTTAAAAACACTCACAGTTCTTATTAATTATTTTTTAGTTCACATGGTTGATTGGTTGTTGTCAAAAAAAAGTAATTATGAAAAAAACCTCTTTTACAGAGTTGCATTCGAAATTTCATTACTTTGATAAAAATATTTCATTTTTTGTCTTCAAAAAGACTCATTTTATTAGGTGTCATTTAATGGTAATAAAAATGCTTTGTTGATGAAATTGCACCTGACCATGTTTTTGGAAAAATAGAGAAATAATTATTATTATCTATTTAAATTTGAGAGCCCACGTTTCATATATTGTGTATAAGCATGCAGACAGGCATTCTCTCTGTTGTAAACAAATATAGGAAATAATTTAGATATAACATTTTAAAACAATATGTGTGCTTATTAGATAAAGCAATAGAATATATTTGTACGCATTATCTTATCGAACTTACGAGCAATTTAATTATTCAATTTAATGCCGTTTAGGTGCCAGTAGTTTAGCGATATTAAAGAATCAAAATATATTGAGCAAATAAATATTCATTATTCAGATGAAGAATTTTCACTCAGCTGAACGCTTTTGAATCTGAATAACTCGTGACATTGCGTAAACAATTGCTTTTGCACAATTTAGTTTCGTTCTCGTTGTGTTTGCTGGGTCTGTGAAATTGACGTTTCGTTTTTCTTTAGCGGAAGAATACAGGAAGTTCGGTGTTGAATTGTAAAATTTTGGAGTCGGTGTTTGTGATAATGAAAAATATATTCTAAACATTGCGAAAACTAAATCACACTAAATAATAATAATGGGGCAAAAGGTGTCTCGCACTGATTTTGAATGGGTTTACACGGAAGAGCCGCACGCATCACGCCGCAAATTGATATTAGAAAAATATCCGCAAATAAAAAAGTTATTTGGTTATGATCCGAACTTTAAATGGGTAGCCGGCTCTATGGTATTAATACAAATTCTAGTCCTATTTGTCATTAAAAATTTGTCCTGGCCCATGTTACTGGCGGCTGCATACTGTTTTGGTGGCATACTTAATCACTCGCTTATGCTGGCAGTGCACGAAATATCGCACAATTTGGCATTTGGACACAGCCGCCCGATGCACAATCGCATATTGGGCTTTATTTGCAATCTACCGATCGGACTTCCTATGTCAATATCTTTCAAGAAGTATCATTTGGAGCATCATAGGTGAGTGCTTATCATTGTCGATAATTGCGAACGCTTTTTATTTCAGCGTTTTTATTTTGAACGATGACGTTATCTTTTGTTTGTTCTTCTATTAATTGTGCAATTAAACACTCTTGGGATGTCAATAGTGACAAACGTAAGGGCGTTAACCAATTAAGTGTTCTATATAACATCTTGACGCTTGAATGCTTGAATTCATATAACAAAAAATTAATAAAACATTTTAATATATTTATATTTATTGCCGAAAAAATTTTCTTCCAACTATGTACTTGTATAAAACTCTAATCATCTTTGATTTACAATGACTAATAATATACTAAGATAATATATGCTTACTAATAGTTAAGATTTCGTTTTGTTTATGTGTTAGAAAATAATAAGTGCTATTCATGATTGGCACGTAGGCCCAAGTTAACAACTTAAGTATTGTTTAGACAACTTTCAAGCTTTCGCAATGCTCTTTCACTACCAGTAGGCACATCATAGGTCACCAATCAATAAACTAAACTTGATATCAATTAAAACAATTCTTGGTGTTGGCTACGCCTAAAGATTGGGGCTGTTATGGTTGTGGAGTAGTGCAAGCAATAGGATTTTCAATTGTCCAGAACCTTCTTAGAAAAAATGATACATACGAGTAGCACTGCTGGATTAACCATACTAAAAAGTTTTATATCATTTAATATTATATATATGATATATATTTAATCATATTAAATATTTTTACAAGAAAAAGGAATTTAATATAAAATTATATAGTTTATTATATAAAAAGAATATTTTGCTAAAGCAAATTTAATTCTATAATCTATAGCAATTGTTTTTAAAACAATTTAATTTAACTCTACTTAATTACTTGTATTTAAGTATGTTAGTTAGACAAAAACAATAATTACTATAATGTTTTATTACTATTATTATTATGTTTAAACACGAACATTAGGTGTCCGTTCATGATTGGTTTATTGTATCTTGCCCTATTTGTAATGCACTAAGTATTTGTTTTTGTAGGCCGTTGGAACCTGTTTGTGAAGTCCCTTTGGGTGGTATCGAACGGCATTTGGTTGTTGATAGCGACAAGTGGCTCCGGGACGTAGACCCTGGCGTTTTCGAAACCACTGAAGTATTTTGATCATTTGAATTATATACAGAAATATATTTATCGATAGAAAAGTATGACCATTCTGATTCCTAAATCAATTGTTTAAAGAAAATTTTTGTTCTATATTGTAAAAAAAAAGGTCTCTCTATTAGTATATGTAAGCATGTTTCTTTGTCTTCCTTGCATAGTTTACACTCATTGGTTACTGCTAGTTGTAACCGCACTTTTTGCTTGATTATAAGGCAATTATTAGTTATAATTCCAATAATTGTTTTTCATTCCGAGTTGTCTACACGTAGTAATAATTTAGGTTCCTAACACTGTCTAAAAGAACACAAGTTATAATGCCGGCTTTCTTAACTATATCTGCTGAAATTGAAGACTATACGCTTCACGGTTGAATTTGATCATTTAAATTATTATAATAATTAGGAATAAAAAAGTAAAAGACAAAATACTGATCTAGGCTTATAAGTAAAATACTTTCCCAAAAAATAAATCAAATCTATAATACATATTTTATCAAGAAATATGAATATCTTTCATAAATTATTTTATTTATAGTTAAAATTATTAGTTCTAACTAATTTGGTAATTTCTCTGATATTTTCAGCATTTAAGACGTTATATTATAAAACAAAGTCTGGTTATATTTAAAACGTTTACAACTAGTGCATTTAAGATCAAGAAACTATACTTATTTGTAATTCATAAATATAACATTATCAATCAGATGTGGTATTCAAAACTAATTTATTTCATACTGCAAAAAAAATTTCAAATATAATGATTCATAAATGGTGTTTTATATATTTATTTAAGCCTTTCACAGCGCAGGTGTTTGCAACCCACTAATCATTTCTAATTAATTTAAGTTCGTGTCTTCAATTACTTTTTGTCGTTATACCCCAAACACGTAACCTACTTTATGGATCATTGATAGGAGAGATGTCTGCATAAACAAATAGCTTTTAGGGCCTCATTTTTTAACTCTAATTGAGTGAATATAGTACTTATAAATCGTTACTACTATGATAAAGGGATTGTTAGGTTTGCCTTAAAGGGACGGACAGACTATAAATAGAATTCTGCTCCTTTAGCGCTATAATCTGGAATTCTTATTTACAAATTTTCTTCACAGAAATTTTTTCAATTAAACCCAATATCGTTTTACAAAAATAATAACATATCTTAGTTACTAAGCATCATACATTATCTCAATGCTATATATGTATAGGGCAATCCTTAACATATTTCAAATATTATCGCTGCAAATCAAAATAATCAAACACATCCAATATAACGTTTGACAGCGCAATATAAATTGAATATCTGATAATCTGCTTATAAAAAATTGAATAGACAATATATTTCCTAGATACTTTTGTTTACCAATTGTCACTGTCAGTGACTATCGGTAATTAGGTATGTATTTTACAATTTTTTTACGATTGATGACTCATTTTCGCAAAATTCACAGCTGTGAGTAAACCAAACTGCCTTGAGACTAACGCGCTTATCGTATTTGTTATGGAATTAGCAATAATTTTAAATATGAATAGGTGCAAAATAGCTAGGCTTTTAAAATATTAATAGTTAGAATAGTACGTGTAGTGCTCAGAACATCCACTTCTTGTAATCTTATCACACAAATACTTATAAACATAACAACAATTATAATTAATTATTAAATATCAGACTTGGATTTTGTTAGCTTGTCATGTGTCACTCTTCCAAGCGATTATTTTCAAAGTAAATTTTCGGTTACTCCCTCATTAAGTAGAAAATTTACAAATTGATATAACTGAACCAAATTATCAAGTTGCAGTTTTTATCATTATCATAATATCATTAAAATTGAAAATATAAACAGATTAACTCTTGTACGGTTTTCATTGTATTCTACGAGCTCAAACCCTTTCATTTGAGATAAAAATGAAAGAGATTTTTTTGTTGTTATTTCTTCACTACTGTGCGAATCCTTCTCGTTTGCTTTTCGTCATGGGACGCGCCACATTCGACAAAAACAAATCAACCTTAAAAATGAAAGAGATTATATTTTGATAAGTTGTATTAAAAGAAGTTTTTAGGAACAATATCAACCATAGTCTTCCAATAAAAAAAATATGGTAGGAGGAATTAGGGAATGATTTTCTTGTAGAGTAGTGATGATGATATAAAATTTGTATATCATCATTATGTATTATGTAGTATTATGTAGTATTTTTTTTGTATGTATTTTGTTGAAATTCAGGACAAGTAAAATATCACGTTCTGTAGCATCACCACTAAGATACTACGTATAAAATATTAATAATTTGTGGTTGAATATCAACAGAATAAGTGCAGGCTTTTCTAAATTGCACAATTGAATGTACCCTTTTTTGTTTGAAACTATATGACATCAAGATTCAAAATAGATAGAGATAGATAGATAATATGTTATTCTTTATAATAATAATATTTATGATTACCATGTTATTACGAGTACTTACTTATTTAGCCATTACAGACGTGAGTCGTGCTTGGCTGCGTCGAGTACTCTTCGTTTTCTTTAGAAGGTGTTTTTAGATGGTGGGTTCCAAGCCCGACACACAACGTCATATATCCATTAATAGTATATCGCTGCAGTAGTAAGCGTAGTAAGCATGGATGATTGTAGCTATCCAGTTGGAGCCACGTGGAGGCTGTGTGTCAACTTGCAAAGAACATTTTATATATAGTATATATCGTATCTTACATAAACTATATATCTCAGTAAACATTGAAAATGGACCGCATCTAGAAATCATTTCGCAAAGGTAAAGCACTTTAAATACGAAGCACCATGCATCACCCATATTGCTTTGAGTATATTTATTTGTGTGAGCATATATACCATATATTGGTTTATGGAAGAATGAAAGAACAAGTAATGCAACTTCTATAGGTTCTTAAAGAAGTAAATGAAAAGTATTTTAATTTGAAAATACAATATAGTTTTGTTGGTGGCCTAATATTTAAGCATCCGGTATAGAGTTTATAAGCAAATAATGAATATTTCAAATGTTCTAATGGGGTCGTTTTAAATCCTTTTTGGTGACAGATACAATTTGTTAGGCCCTTTCTGTGGTATTTTTGTCACATCGATTTTAACTGTAAAAAGATAATTTTTCGTCAGCGATATTGATTATCTATGTAGTTTCCATTTCATATTCAATGGGAACACTTTATTTTATCAACGTTTACAAACAACAAGAGTGAGAGAGCCCACCCTTGTTTAAGACCGTTTTTACATTCAAAAGCATCGTTAAGCTGCACACAGTGTAATACGCGACAGGTTGATTCTTCATAGCATGCCAGAAGTGGGCAATTTGTGTTGCTGTATAAACATTTGGTGTATTCCACATTATTTTGCGATGGGTTTTATATGCGAACATTGAACCACCGATTTTTAAATCATGGTTAATACATAGTTCGATTAGTAGCTCGCCATTTTCGTTTCGATTGCCGAGAACATATGTTATAGATATGCTTTTAAAATATCTAAAATTAGAAATAGAGTTATATGGGTATATTATAATAATTATTTATACATATGCCTTTGTTTTCTAAATAAACTTCCAAAGTTTTGGGTAAGCTCATCTTAAACTCATTTAGAAAATAGCTATAATCGCTTATTTAAAGAATTAAAGATCCCAGTATAAAATTTGTAATTATTATTTTATTTGGTTAAGAAGCGCTGACTCTGAGTTTCAAATTTGGCAGGGCACGAGTTCGGTTCCTGCTACTTGAAGTCTCAAAAAATTGTTTACGAATAATCAAATAAAAGAATTATTTCCAAAACCACTAATGATGGGTATTTAGCAATACTCGAAACAGCTGTATGGTTAGCCAAAAATTCTATTAATTAAAATAATTTAACAAAGAATTTTTATTGTTGTATTTCACTTCTTTTCGAAAACCTCTTTATTTTATTTTTTATAATTTGTTTTTTGGATATATAGTAAAGTCTAGTACAGATCTCCTGCAGTTCTAGTGACAGTTTTTCGTTTTTTGCCTTTAACGGTTTTCATTTACCTTAAAAAAGTATTTGTATAAAAAATATATTTCCTAAATTCTTTCGTATCTGTTATTACGAACAGTTCTAATTGGAATGGATGGTGTAGAGACGAAGTAAAAGCCATTGGATCAGATCAAAGTAACACAGAGAATTATATTGAAATAAAGCGAGAATTATTGGGATCAAGAATATGCAGGACATAGACAGATGAAAGATATTTCGAAATAATATCTGATCGCTATTAAAACATCACACAACGCACTAAGATACACCTGTACAATGCAAACGTAAAATCAACTTTACTATATGGTAGTGAGAGTTGGAACCTAACGGCAAGAGACGCACAACATCTACAAGCCTTTGTCAATCGTTGTCTACGACGCATCCTTCATGTATTCTGGCCAGCAACCATAACCAACAATGAGCTCGGGTTCAGAACGAATCAGCCTCTTATAACTGATGAAATAATGATGCGCAAATACAAATGGCTTGGCCACACGTTAAGAAAACCCGCTGATGATATCGCAAGAAATGTCTTAGATTTCAACCCTCAAGGCAGTAGAAGACCAGGGCGTCCACGCAACACTTGGAAACGACAAACTGAAGCCGAATTAAGAAATGCTGGAAAGAGCTGGAGTGAAACAAAACGTCTTGCATTAGATAGAGTTCAATGGAAACTATTTGTTACGGCCCTCTGTTCCACATAGGAATAAAAGGATTAAATAATAATAATTAAAAGTAGTAGTCTAAATACTGTCCACCTATTTGCAAAAATTAAATATAAAAATGCAAACTAATGCTCATAATTATATGAAAGCAATTATTTCTCTTGTCAAATACGGAAAATCATTCAGTTAAAAAGCGTGACTGAAATGATATCCATATCTTTTTGACGACCTCAAAAATAAACAAAAAATTATACTAAAATCGTGATATGAAATAGTAAAAGGCTGGCGAAAATATTGAGTTGTTGAGTTTAGAATGTTTGGTTTCGTCGATTAAATAAAAATTAACAATATAATTTAAATGTGTATAAATGAGTTTCTAAAAACACTTTTTTTTTATCAATATATTGATAAATTTTCAAATTATAGCTCAGAACAGTAAAATCTTTTGACGGTTGTAACCGATTTTTAAATTTTTACTGTGATTGCGTATCATTTTAATTTACTATTTTACTAGGAAGCTACTGTAATGACTAGTCTTTGGAGTTTCTCCAATCAAGTTGCAAAATTGTTGATAGCAACAACTGTAGCTATGCGGCATTTAACCGCTTTTAGCTCTAAGAGCACGTGCTATTAGATTTTAAGAATAAGTGAAGCACTTCGCTTTCCTTTCAGATAGCGCATCTTGTTATTGCACGAGTCAACCGTCAAATGTATTTGTTAGGTACGTTGATTACTATATCCATAAATATATAATAATGTAATCTAATGATTTATGGGTTAGGCTAATGCACAATAAATAATATGTATTATATTATAGGTTTTAACACTATATATTAAAACTATTATATTTATTTTATCATTTTTATTGGTTCATATAAGATTATAATTGTATGTCCCACCAGTCTAAAAAAGTCTGGTCAAATATATTATTGAATGTGTTGTGTATTATGTATTATTCTACTGAAGTCCATAGAAATATAATACACAAAAATTATATATCAAAATTCTTGTAAAATCAAGTTAAAATCTAGAAGACTGGGTCTTCCTTTCAATCAAATCTGTCGTAGCTGTGGGGAGAACGATGAGAGTGCATCTCATCTTTTTTGTTTTTGCCCAGCTCATGCACGTCGGCGACTTAGTACTTTAGGAGCCACCTCCCTTGAGGACCTGGACCAGATACATGATCTGATTTTAAATAGCATTTTATGCTTTGCAAAAGGTTCTAGGTGGTTTTAAACCCTGAGGTTTTCATTATTTATATACGGCATCATAATGGGCCAATAGGCCTAAGTTAAAATCCCTCTTAAAATTTAGCTAAGCACAGATATAGAATGACTGATACTAGCTAAATCAAATATATAGTTGATATATTTCGTAATGTTTTAGTGCGCTATAAAAAATTTGATCCCCTTGCATCTAGGAACTGCACTACTTAAATGTCGTAGAACTTTAGAATACTTTAGAAATTTTGTTCTTGAAAATGCCACCTTTACTCTAATTACATAGTGGGAAGAAATTTGCTCTTCCAGATTTTGTTCTTCAAAATGTCACCTTTACTCTAATTAGATACTGGAAGTAAATCTTTCTTTGTTCAACAATAAGGCATTTCATTATACGTTTTAAGAACAGCCGGGTCTTCGTCCCGCAGTCACAATATACCTACAAATAATTTATATAATATTTTATGTTTACATTGTATTTAATTGTGTTTTGCTAAAAAATTTTAAAAAAAATGATTAAAAACTGATTTAACATGAGATCTAATTTTTTGTTTTATTTTTACAGATATCAAGGTGACGAAGTGCTGGATACTGATATTCCTACATTGCTTGAGGCTAAATTATTTGACACAGTATTCGGGAAATTTCTCTGGGTGTGTTTACAACCATTTTTTTATATATTTAGACCATTGATAATAAACCCAAAACCTCCAACGCGACTTGAGATTGTTAATACAATTGTACAATTGACTTTTAATACTGTGGTTGTATACTTTTTTGGTTGGAAAGCAATGGCATATTTGGTACTTGGTTCCATATTGGCTATGGGTTTACATCCTGTGGCTGGGCATTTCATATCTGAACATTATATGTTTGCCAAAGGTTTTGAAACGTATTCCTATTATGGTCCATTAAACTGGATAACTTTCAACGTTGGCTATCATAATGAGCATCATGATTTTCCAGCTGTGCCTGGTTCGCGACTACCAAAAATCAGAGAAATTGCACCAGAGTTCTACGAATCAATGCCACAGCATACGAGTTGGACACGCGTTTTGTATGATTTTATAACTGACCCAGCAGTCGGGCCATACGCACGAGTTAAACGGCGGCAGCGTGGATTGAAGACATAAAGCTTAATTCTGAGAAAATAATTTCCTTCGTATATTTGAGTTTCATAATTTTAATTTATTTAAACACATTAAATTAAAAAAATTAAGTTATTTTGCTTTTGGCTTCAATTCAAAAAAATATTTGTTTTTTTATTAATGCCAATGCTAATTTTAAAATTGTTAGATATTTATTGAAAGAATTTCATCACTGTATTGCTATATGTAATTATTAATTTTATTTTAAGCAACTTTACTTTTGCATTGTAAACTTAATGAAGCAAAATTAACTGTGTTATTTAAATGTATTTGATTCTAAAGCTTCATTTTAAGAAATTTATTATATATATATATATATATATATATATATATATGAAACAATGCACTACTACACAGACTGGTTCAATAGACGTAAACTTTACCAGTTTAATTGCCGTTCCTACTAATACGACACTAGCCGCATAACTTATCCGAAAGATGCGCCTAGCTTAAAACGATATATTTTATATACATTTTTTATATAATGGCAAATATATAAAATAGTAGTTCATTAAAATCGTATCGGTCCTACTTTTTAAAAATATATTTTGTGCCTATTATTTGATATTCAATATTTTCATGTACTTTTTAATGAGAATATACATTGTTTAATGTAGAAATAATAATAAATAAATAAATACAAATTTACAGTAAAAATATATTTAAGAAACTAATGAGCTAATTATCGCTTACTTCTTTTTTGCGTGAATTGATTATCAATTATTTTGCAATACATTATGCAATTGCCTTTCAAAATTTATAAAATAAATATTAATAAAATAAATTTAAATATGTCTGTCATTTTTAAATGATACTCAGTGTTTAATTCACTTTCTTCCTTCACTAACTTCCAAAAGAAAGTGGCCTAACGCATTGAGATACCACTTACCGATTATTTTTTTTTTTCACAAAGAATGTGGAAAAAAAAAAAACAAATAACTTTGTGTAGGGTTGCCTACATCCTGCTGATTTCTTTCTCCAACAGAAACTTCCAATTTTCGCGCATATGTTAGTTTTCCTAATTGCCTTGTATACTACCTGAACGTAAGCATGGAAATCGAAGCCATCCGTGTTCAGTTCAATCAGGTGTAATAGAACAACAAAATGACTACGATTACAATGGATTATTTTTGTTTTAGTACTTAAGAAACCGATTCACAAATTTAGAATAGTACAGGGGAAGAATAGGACAGTGGGAACTGGTGAAAGGGTGAGGTATTAAATATATCCTATATATATTTTCAGGAATATTTTTATATAACTGGAACAGACTCAGTTTTTTTATATATTAAAGTTGATAAAATATTGCTCCGACAAATATCTTGCATTCAGTGTGTGATCGAAGAGATTTACTTTCTGGTGTCTATAAACAATGTTTTGCACAGATTCATGTTTTTCTGAGTAAGGAATGAAGCTCTAGGTCAGACATTAAAAGAGACACTAATAGAAGAGTACCGAAAGTCAATCTTTTCTAAAATTTAAAAAACTATAAGCAATACTTACTTTTTTCGTGTCTAATTAATCAAAAGATAACTCTAAGTAACCATAAAATTAATTGCAAATATTAAACCATTTTTCAAGAAGCGATCCATAAAAGTTTTTACATTTCGTTATCCTCCTAGTTAGAGAAGATAGTCCTTAGAATCGCCACCTATATTTCAAACATTAATTAACATTGTTTGGTCATATACACATTTCTAATTCTTTTCAAGAAAACTCTGGCTTGGATATTGTCTCATTATCGTTAAGATTTTGTTTTAGTGGTTATGACTTTAAGAGCAATCACACCCTGTGAGATAACATTTGTGTCACTTGTAATGTATATCCAAATTAAAATTACATCATAATTCAAAAAGTAAAACAACTTATTTCATAGTTTCCATAAGAAGTAAGTTACTTAAGCTAGAAGTAAATAAAAGAAAAAAAAAGAATTTTGATTCCTTTTATTCCATTGATAAAAATCTCAAAACGTCTCGATGCGAGTCCAGTAGCCGCCTCGTTGCGACTTTGGTAGACGCTTCGATGTGAATCTGCTAGACACCTGGATGCGAATCTGCTAGACGCTTCGGCGCAAATTTGCTCGACACCTCGATGTGAATTTGCTAGTCGCCTCGTTGTGAATTTAATAGATAATAATAATTGAGTGAGAACAATAGACAAGATTCTAAATTTGATTGATGACATCTCTAACTCTTTCAATTTTTCATGACGATCCTGCCATGTCCTTCTCAGCGGTGCAAGGTTACTATTATTTTATTAGATAGAAGATATTATAGAAGATATTATAGCTATTATTTAAATACCTTCGTGACAACTCAAAAAGCCAAGTTATTAACAATTTTGTTACCCTTTCTAAAAAAATTATATTAATTCGTTGACTTCTAGTTAAATGATAACCATCCCAAACACTGCTTTTCATTTCTCTTCTTAAACTTTATTTGGCAACAATTGGATTAAATTTAATGATTCCTTTAACTAGTGTCTCTTAGGTGTCCTGGAGCAAACTCATTTATTAATATTATTGAGGATTAATAAAATTATCCACAATAAATTTCACATCTATAACATACTATATTCACATCTAACACTTTGATCACGTTCTGATAAATCTGTGTGACCAATAGATGAACTATACCTTTGTTGACCTTGCAAAATATACAATACTTTGTTTCTTGATTGCCTTGGCCTAACCTTGTTGCAGTCACCAATGGTAATAATAAGTACTTATTACTTCACTTAATATTATTATAATGTATTTTTGATTATTTTATATTATCATTGTTGTTTTCAATTATGAAGTAGCAAACTTTTACTATCCCTTGTGGGTTGCTATCCTGTAATGGTGGTGGAGCTCAGTAAAAATAATGATTATTAGAATGCGACAGCTATTATAATAAACCCAATAATAGTGCCTCATTTCTCAATAAGGTAGAAAGTGAAAAGCGTTATATATCTAAAAACTAGATTATGAGCGGAGGTAAGTAAGCGAATCACTGTAAAAACGTATATTGATCTTAATAATTCATTTGAAATGTTAAAACATGGAATCAAACCGCAGTGGAAATATGTACATATATGTTTGAAGTATACCCAAAATTCTTTGATCAATTCTGTTGAATGGTAGTAAGTACATTAAATCTGGATGTGATAAACTCTGGGTGCAGCATTTTTATTCAATACTATCAATTTGAGTATGGGATCGACTCGAGCAAACCGACATTTTTATAGGTTTTATCTTTGATAATTAATTTAACAACTTGGAAAGTGCGCAATATGCAGAAAGATGGAAAATTGAAGCAGTTACGATGTGAATTTATCAGTTATGAGGTAAATATCCTGTAATCCAAGGATGCAGGTGGTACGGTAGATAAATATGATTTATTGTAGATGTAATATGCTGCCTCAGTTATGATATGTGGCGATTAAGAATAGAATCCTTTTATAATAATTATGTGTACTTCAGATAAGGAAATAAACATTTAAGATCGAAAGAAATTTAATGTAATTTTGTGTAGACACTAATTACTTTAATTTTAAATAATTTGTCCTATAGGTAAAAATCTATAGTTTTATAGAATGTATATAGCAAGAACTGCTTTAATTTATAATTATCGTGAATACATGACCTTATCAAGTATTTTGAATATGTTAATGAAGCCAATTGTACAAAATTTTATTTCTTTTAATGATCTTCGTATACTAATGTGTAATCTACTAATCCTGCTTTGTGTTTATCACAGATTATGCTAAATATTATAGCAAACCCTACATGCAGGGTTAAACTATATATACCAACTCAATCCTGGTCATGGTGAGTTTTGGCTAAATAATAATAATCTAAACCATATTGTTTGCATTAATAATAAAGTTTATCAATCAAAGTTTTATAATAAATATATAATCTAATAAAGAAAAATTGCAATAAAAATTTAATTTATTTTATAGTCTATTCACACAGCATAAGTAATTTAATTGTGCTCGTTTAGCTCGCTTCATTAAAAGTGTGTGTTCACACAACAAATCTTAATTTTAGTACAATTTTGTTTCTGTTTTGTTTTTGTAGTTGCACCGGTATATGAAAATGCCGACTTACGCAAAGTGCTGTTTCGCTTAGCATTAGTTTGTGATAATTATTCGCATAATTACTACAATATTTGCATGAAACTGGGATTGTACTTGTGTCGTGTGAATAGGCTGGATATTCGGTATATGCAAAAAAAACTTCATTCAAAAACTAAAGAACACCTTGCAAGGAAGCTAAGTACTCTTTGATTGAAGACAAGAGAAAATACCAAAGAAATTTTTTTTTATTATGTTACACGTCTGTAACATATTATTGCTCTTTTTCGGTGTGGCAGTACATTGAATTTATTGTTACTACTTTTTATTCATATACATTTATTTAATTATTAATACTGATTTTTATCAGTATTTGGTAGAACATCAGCTGATTCTCAATATTATGCAGTGTTGCACAAAAATAAAATTTATGAGGAAAATTAAAGTTTTTGAAAAATAAGTTTTGCTTTAATATTAAATGTGTTTATTTTTTTAAATATTTCTTGCCATTATTATCAAATATGTCTTCGTACATAAAATTACTAGATATATTCCGACAAGCATTTTATTTGTATTTGTTTTTTTTTTAAATTCAATGTTACGAAATTAATACTACGTTTACATTGTGAGATTAAGGTAATCTACATTTTTAATCTAAACCGTTTACATTATAAATTAGAGATTAATTTTGACGTTTCTCTTGTTATGTTTTGTTTTGTGTGTTTAATAAATTTCTGTAAATAAAACATTTAATTACAACTATGTACAAAAAAATGATTCTATAAATTTATTAAATAGTTTTATAACAAAAATTTAACAAATTTCAGTTATAATTATATATAAGATTTTTATTAAATAAATTTAACAAAAATTTCACCCCATTCAGAATTTTCAAATTTTCAATGTTTGTTTTGAATAGGTTTTGACATTTCCTTTTAAGTTCTTCTAAGATCGTAAAAAACTCTACGATATTATGATATTTACAGACTTGAACAGAGAAATAATCATCATTTTTAAGGAGATTTAAAACTAATCTCGACGAAAAAAAGATTAACTTTTGTATGGGAAATCTGAGATTAACAACGGGGTTAGTACTTTAATCTCGATTTTTGCTTTAATCTACTTTAAATCACATAATGTAAACGCTGTATACAAAAACAAAAATAGGGAAAAAATTAATTGAATTCTACTATTTTCTGTCCTCGTACCTAAAATCAAGTAAGTAAGTAAGACCGTTTATGATAGCGAGTTGTTATATAAAATACTGTATAATCGTATTGTATAAAATTTATGTGAATTTCACTAAAACACTTCTTCCAGTAAAATTGAAGTTAAGTCGACTAATCAATAACGTTTTTATCGTAATGGTGCGACAATTATATGCTAAAATGATTTTATAATTTTATTGAATTGAAAAGTGAAGATTATTAAATAATTAATGATATATTTTTGACCATCATATAACTACTTTGCTACGTAGAAGTAGATAGAATTTATGTATTGTATTGATTCTCCATATCATTTTTTAAAAACAAGCATTTTAAATAATCAATGTATTTCCTAACTCTCTAGCATGTAACGTATAGAAAACTTCACACTATTGAGATATGAAATAAATAAAATTTTTGTAAAAAAAAATATATAATAAGTATTCCACTTACTATGTTATATAAATTAAATAAATCCATTCTCGTAATCAATAATAAGTTTAATGAAATAAAACATTAAAATAAAATTTTCAATATATGTTTTTAATATTAGTTATGGGAGTAAGGCAATAATCTTATTATGCTATTAATAATAATAATATTATATTTATTTTTTGAACTTAAAAGTGCGTGTATTGTTATGCTTATTAATATATGTAAATACTATACATTAAGAATCAGGTGGTCTATTATGCCAACCACAGTTATTCCGATGCATTTAGGCAATTAAAAAAATAAGAGAATTTGTTCATTAATCTTTACAATACTTTAGCAATACTTGCGCAATACTTTAGCGAAACTGTCAAGTTTTGTTGACAATTGTTTGATTTTGTATCTATTTTACGTCCAAAAAAGTGTTGTTTAAATGTATAAATCTAAATTATCCATTAGTTCTACAACTGCAGAATCCAGCACAATATTCAATATATTTTGCTTTTCATTTTTTAAAATTATGCATATCGAATCTGAGTTATATTTTATAAGTACATATATACAAAAACAAATATTAGCTGTTTTAAATATTTGCAAGCCTAGTATGCATAAAATGCATTCACAATTATTTAGAAAACATTTAAATGATATTGTGAAAAATTATTTAATTAAATGCTTGTATATTATATGATGTACAACGCTAAAATAATTTTAATTAGACGTTCTAATATGAGATAGGCAATTTATTGCAGAAATGCTTTTCGTTACTACTATTTAATGACACAAATGCAACTATGTAAAATTTAGTATTAAAAATTATATGGACTCAAATCATTAAACATCTGGCAACTCATACAAAAGTAAAAAGACTTTGTTTCTCGTGTACTTCAGAATCATTTTCAGTTAGTCATTTGGATGAGTGGAAAGTGAGTTCTTTTGTTGTGTTTAAAGTTTCGAGTTTCATTGTCGTCAACGTCAGCCATCCGTGTGTGCCATTTTATTGTTTAAAGTTTTTGTATTTTACTGAAAAAAAGCAAGGTCTTATCATATAGTGCAAACTTTTAAATTTCGTTGGACTTTCAGCAGCGAAGTAGGTGGTAAAGCAACTAATTCTATAATAAAATCTAAAAATTTGTCTTAAAGAAATTTTCAGTCAGTTTTTTATATGCGGTTTTACGCACACAGGCAAACGTCATTCGCCGATGGCGTATTCATTTAGTGTTTGTAGAACGCCGACAAGCGATTGAAATTGCCAAAGTTTTCTTTAGTATTGTACATAAAATTTAATATGAATTTTTATTATATATTAAATTAAGAACGTGTAATATAATAATTTCAAGAAGAACGTGATACTTAAAGAAATGTTTCAAGTCTGAGTCACAATTGCGAGTCATTCGTGTATATGTTGTGTGCATTTAGAGTGTATCATATATATACAGAATATTTGCCAACATATGCACTCAATCAGTTATTCATACATCTATATATATATATATTATATATTAATACTTTATCGCCTTCCTCTCAATGGAGTGTTGCGCTCATCTGCAAAACGACTCAGTTTGTTATCGACTACTCTGATGGTGTGTACATAGTCACCGATATATTTTTGTATTTTCTTGTGTTAGTTACACATGTTTGGGCGGCTGCGTTTCGATTAATAGGCAAGAAAGTTAATGTACTCTTTTGGTTAACAAAAAAAAAAAAAACTTTTTAATATTAATATAATAAAATAATTTTAACTGACTTAATTGGAAGTCATTCGTATCAAAATGCTATTTTGACTATATATAGAAAGGAAGGAAGTTGCCTTTATGAAGATTTTTGCTTATTGCTGCCTGTCTTTTAGGTTATAATAGCTTACGCTTTAGCGAAACAAAGACAAGTGCGGAACTTTTTTTTTTTGGAAATTGATTCATTGCTAAAAACTGCTTTAACATTTTGTCTTCCTTTGCAGATATAAAAAAAAGTACATAAAATTGCATTAAAGTCGTCTCCTATTGAAGAAGATACATAAATTCGTCGACGAATTTAGTGCTTTGTCAAAAGTTAAAAAGTTTTGAATATTTTTCTGTGGAACATACGAAAATTTTAATCAATATGAGCTGGCAGGATTATGTTGACAATCAACTTTTAGCTTCGCAATGCGTTACAAAAGCTTGCATCGCTGGACACGATGGCAATATATGGGCCCAATCCAAAGGTTTTGAAGTAAGTAAAATTCGTAAACAATAATATCGCTAATATATAATTTTTATTATTTTAATTTGTGCTAATGATATGATAATTTGTGCATAAACTAACTGTGTGTATGGTGTCAAATTTTCAAAACTCTTTCAATTAACAATTATTATTTTATTTTTTATTTATCAAAACAAAAATGAAAACCGTGTTTGTTTTGGCAGCGGCATGTGGACATTTTTGTAAGTTAAACTTCAAAAATGCTGCAAGTTCAAGGGTGTGACCAACTCTCAACAATAGCAAGCAAGCTTGCTCAGCACGCAAGCAGCAAACAGCAAGTCCGTGTGAGATACACACTAAAACGGCATGACATACGCATACAGATATTCTTTATACCCACAGACTAATATTATGAATTCATAAGTGTGCACTACTTCATACCTACCCAACCACCCTGTTGTTGTATGTATTATTTGTTGCCGCCTGTCGCATTATTTTTCCACAGATATTTCTTTCTGGTGTTGATTATTCATTTTAATTTTTTTTTATCGCGCTACCATTCTTCGTCTCCTTATGTATAGTTTCATACTTTTTTACTCATGGCATAGGTTGACGTTTCCGTAAGTCAAACGACCGGTTGCTTTGTTTCTTTTAAATATATTTTTTATTTTATTTCTTTTCTTTTTATCACACATTTTTAATACTGATTAATATTATTCTTTATCAGTTATTTTAATAATGATCAATACATTTTAATTTGGTTTTACCAAAGAAGGTATTTCTTTGTGTGAATATATTTTTTTTAAATTTTTTGCTTAATGATGATTAAAAAATTATTTCTGCTTAAATTTTCTAGAAATAAAATTTAATTTATATATTTTTCAAAATTTTCTTACTATCTAAATTCGTACAGAAGTAATAACATAAAAAGGTATTGGTTTTAAAAATTATATTGTAAAAATACTTATGGTTTTGATTTTGTTTTTTGTTTTTTGTTTTTTAAATTTAAAAACTCTTTTTAATATATTTTATTGCAATATTTCCTTATATGCCAATTTGTATTTTATTGTTTCATTATTAGCTGAAATGTGAATGAAGTATATTATTGCAAATGTTAATGTCAAAATAGCAAGGACTAATAAAATCAAAATCACTGCATATATTATGAATTTAAAAAAGGATGTTTAAATTTCGAAATAAAACGAAAAACGTGACTGACTGTGTGTCTGTTCTGATGTGCTAAATATAAATACTAAGCGTGTGTTTTTTTATATAGCTGTCTCTTTGTTGTTGTGGTCTTTTGCTATGTACTTCTATCCTTTTTCTTTAAACACAACTTTCTGCCTTTTAAATTAATAATAAATACTCAATTATTACATCCTTAACAAAAAATATTGAAAAATTAAATTTATATAAAATGAACTGAATGAACAAAGGGTCGATCGGTTGGTCATATACAATATACAATATACAATATATGTGGCGAAATTAAAAACTTAATTGCAAGAAATAAATTTTGCATTTATTTCTACTATACGTACAGCATTGAAAAAAAATATTCTCTAATTTCTGTACTTTTTTTGCACTTATCGCACAATTTTTTAATACCAGTGAAGTAATTATTTCGGTAGTGAAATATTTTATCGCTGAAATTATATATTATTAAATGGTCTGAGTAAAAGGAAATATTTATCGGTATCAGTTTAAGATTGCAATAGGCTATTTAATCCATATAAAAATAAATTAAGTATCATCGACAACTACAGCGCGAACGACGGAAAGCAAAGCTGTTAAAAATGCAAATGCGGCGGCGGCGGCAGCGGCTGCGGCAGCTGCACTCCTTTATTATTAATACGTTTTATGTATAAAAATAAATAAATGCTCACAAAATATAAATATTGTGAACATGTGTGCCAACGGATTCCAACCCACAATTTCAGTCATATTTCCGAAAATGTAATCGAAAATTTTCAAAATGTTTTAAATGTTTTTTTTTTTGTTTCTTGTTTTTTACTTTTTACCAAGTTTTTTTTTATGAAAACTTGAGATAATATAAATATTCAAATCAAAAAACATTTATTAAGACTTCTTAAAAGCTAAAAATAATATTTTATTTATGTTCAATGCAATAGTATTTGGAATTTAAAGAGTGCCATATTGTCATATTTGTTTTTTACTTTATGTTGTTCAATAACTAATTGCAAAAAATGAAATACAAAATAAAAAAAAAATACATAGAAGTAGAAATTCAAAAAAGTACATTCCGTAAAAAAAGTAGTAATGAGAAAAATAATAAAGTAATATTAAAAATAAATGAATTAAATTAAAATGAAAAATAATATAAAAAAATAATAAAACGAATGTAAAATAAATAAATATAATATAAGAAAATAGAAGCAGAATATAAAAAAAATATTAAAAAACAAAGGAATGTAAAAAAATAAAAATAATGTAAAAAAATAAGAATAATGTTAAAAAAGAACATAAAAGTAATATAAAAAAAATAAAAGAAATATAAAGATATATAAAAGATATAAACCAAAATAAAAGTAATATAAAAAAATATAAAACAAATGAAAATAATATAAAAAATATAAAAGGAATGTAAAATAAAAATACAGAAAAATATTTAGTGATTTATTTATTGCATTATAATATTATATATTAGTTTAGTGATTTTGATGATAATTTTGTTTATTTGTTGATTAATTGATATGCATAAAAAATTATAATAAATATCAATGGTGAACAAATTACATAAATGTTGAAATAGTTTGGTAAATTTTTTTCTTCTTATTTTTAAGCGGAGAGTTTGGACTTAACTGTCCTTTCCTTATAGAATGAATCATATATATATATATGCAGTTGTACATAAATGTTGCCTTGACAATAATGCTTATGACGCGGATGTTGTAATATATGTTTAATTAAGATCATACGCATTTAGTAGTATAAAATTAGAAATTAATAAGTTGCTATTGCTATTAGTTTTTTAAGTGATTATTATTCAAAAATTTTAAAAATTAATTTTTAAATTAAACAAAAATTTTGATTCTAAGAAGTTCTAATAACCATTAACTGATAGTTTTTATCTTGCTTAAAAAATTGTAGATAATTGTTTGTGTTATTTAACAAATTTTTTGTATAGAAAATATAATTAAAAATGTGTTTTCACTATATGTCACTCCATATCTAGAAATTGTTTCCAGTGTATGCGAACCAGCCGCGATTATTGTCAGACAGCTAAACATTTAGAAATGTCCTTTTAATTGAGGGTGGTGTTTATGTGTCTACACTTTATCTCTCTCTCTCTCTCCAGTATATTTTTGTTATTTGAATCATAGTAAAGTTCAAATGCTATCATATATTTTTATATGTGCAGTATAGTTAGGGTTTCGAATCTGAAATTTTTACATACCGGTTTAAAAAAAAAATAAAAAAAATTAATCTATTGGATTTCGGTTTTCGGGACGGCAAAAAAAAAAGTTTTTCTATGATCGGCTTTTTAACGTGATAGCTTCTATATAAATATCACTAGTGAAGTATACTCAATTGTGTTTAATAGAAGTACAGTGTTCAAAACTAGACGGAGCAATGAAAATATTTTTTCTTTTCGAAAACTGTTTATTTTTTTTCGTTTCTCTTTACCTACCCACTTCGCTCCATAACATTATTACTACTCATTTGGCACTCCTTAGACTAGTAGGGATGGTATTTGAGGGGGTATCAGTTGTTATAATATTCTATCTTGAAATCCAAAAAAAAGTATCTAAAAAATTTAGAATTATAAAAAAAAACTATGTAAAATAAATAAAACTATATAAAATAAATAATACTCTATGTGGTGAATAAAACTGTATAAAATAAATAATACTCCATGTAGTAAATAAAACTATATAAAATAAATAAAACTTAAAATAAATAAAAGTATATAAAATAATTAAAATTATGAAAAAAAAAATAAAACTATATAAAGCCTACAAGCACATCATGTATAAAAAAATTAAAAAAGTCGAATCAAATTTTATATATAAAATATATTGTTTTCCATATCCACAAAGACGACAAATTCTACAAAATTCTGTTATTGGTAAATAAAAAATTAGTCGCTGAGGTCTTTATCTGAACTATTGAGTAAAAAAATCCTATTTGTGACGCTAGATTCCTTTTGCGCTTTTCCTTACACAAACACTACGAACCTAATTGGCATTCCGTCTTATTTTTCTCTATGTGCAGATTGTGAAAATTTCAAATTCAAAAATATTTCTATTGTATTTATGAGAAAATAGTTCATAACTTTTATAATTAAGTGAACGTGACAAGTGGTGATTCTTCGGTTTTTCGTTGGAATAAGTTTTGATTTCATCCCACAAGTGTTCAATTGAAATTATGTACCAGACATAGTGCACACATCCACTCTTAAATATATTCACACATCCGAACACAGAGTTCTAAATTTCTTTTTCACAATTTCTATGTTCTCTAGCCTTGTGCCTAATTACCAAATTTATCATTAGATCGGTAAACAAGTATCTTCATACTGTAATATCGTTTTTTTCTCTTAATTATCAATCTGCCGTACATATATATATAAATTTTTTTTTGTATTTGAACTATAACTATTATATCAATTTAAATTTGTCCTGTCTTTTTATCGTTTCTTTCTTTTTGAGTGTCTTAAAAAACCTTCAATCTCCCCTCATCAATCAGTTTAGAACTTTCCACTGTTTTTATCACAATTGCTAGTATTTAAAGTATTTTAGATATTAGCTGCCACTTCAGTTGAATTTTATATCACTATGCTATGCTTGTCTCATATATTATAAATATCTTTATGAATAATTATTTTGTTTGAAAAAAAAAATGAATTGTATTTTTGGATCTCTTTTTTAATTTTATAAATAAAGGATGATCAAACAAGATTGGAATTTGTTTTTCTTAATAAATTGATTATGTTATGAGATATGTGGTGTCTTGCACCATCTTGTTAAAACCATGCCACAAATAATCAGTAAACATGTTTCTGTTCTCCATTGACAATAACAGCAATGATATTTTCATTTTCAAAAAATATGTTCTAATTACACCTCCAGACCGTTAACCAGACTAAACTGTTTATGAATGTAAACGTGTTTTTATTAATATGTGGGTTTTCTTATTCCAAATCTGATCATTTTACTTATTTACAAAGCCATTTAATTAGAAATAAGCTTCATTGGCAAAGATAATATTTCCTAAAGCATAATCTTTAAAATTTCTACGCAATAAATGATCATTTGGTTCAACTTGTTGAGTGGTCTTGGAATTGTATTTTATACACCGTGAAATGCAAATCTTTATGAAGAATATTGCATGTGGGACCAACAGAAGGACCAAGTTCTTAAGCACTCGTTCACAATATTGGTTGTAATTTTTTCTTTCAGAGTTGTAAAAAAACAGCATTAAGTCTGGTTGAAACAAATTGGCATCACTTTTAAAATATGTTAAATGCTTATTTTTGACATATGTTTTTGTTGTGTTGTGTGTAATATGAAATATAAAAATTGTGAACACTAAAAATTAATTAATTTAAATAAAAGAAAACAAATGAATATTAAATTAATTATTTAATTATATTTAAATTAATTTATTTACTTACTATACTAAAAGTATGTTTACGTTTTAATCAGGCGGTATTTTAATCGTCTGAAAAATTACTATAGTATAATTTTGTTTTAAACTATAGTAAAAATTATAGTATGTTTTGTAGATCCATAAGTTGCACATAATGTACGATAATGTACCTCGTTTAGATTTCTTATTTTTTTAAATAAATTTTAACAATTTATTTAGGCTGAGAAAGTGTTTTTTTCTAAAGTAATTTAATAAACAATATTAGACACAGATATCAATTTTGGTGAGAATGCAAAAAAACATTCAAAAGATTTATTGCCAGATTTTTGCTTTCATCATATTTTTTTATATATTATTTAATATATATGTATTGTTTGTTTTATTTTTAGGTTACAAAGGAAGAGTTGACGAAGTTAATTTCTGGATTTGATCAAACGGACATTCTTATTAGCAATGGCGTTACCCTAGCCGGGCAACGATTCTTTTATATTTCTGGTACAGATCGTGTAGTCCGCGCCAAACTTGGTCGCAGTGGTGTTCATTGCATGAAAACAAAACAAGGTAACTGTAATATAATAAATATTACATAATTAAAAGTTCAAATATCTATATATTTCGAATAGATTTTTTTTATAATTATAAAAGGTTCATTTTCCGTGGAAGCTATAAGTAACTCTAACAACTTTTAAACAGTTTGCATATCTTTATTTACATTTATTTGGTGTACAGTTAAACTTCCATTACTTGAAGTACCATTTTGCAAAGAAAAGGTTCGATTTATGGAGACTTCGAGTTAGAGAATAGCTACACTTTAAATTTTGAATTACTCTCTGATCAAGTAGTTGCAATTTAGAGTTCATATTCGGCGCAAGAAATGTCAATTTTAAGCCAGCGACTGGCATTTCCACAAAGAAACAGCATAAGAAAGAAAACATTAAACATTTGGTTTGGAAAAAGGGACTTCCCCTAACAACAAAATGAATTGATACTTAAAACAAAAATTCGATTTATAGAATACGCTTTCCTATATTCCTATTGACATGTGACAATATTTTTATTTGAGTTATAGAGAAATTCGAGTCATAGAAGTTCAAGTTTTAGAAGCAGAATTGTATGCTTTCTAAAACCCTCTTGTACTCTTTTTAGTTCGAGTTATGGAAGTTTCACAGTATTTCTATTCACTTTGGCACAGTTTTTTCCTGTGAGATTTTTGGGAAGGAACCTATAGATTTTTGCTAATTATTAAAAAGATATTCCCCCAATGTTCAGTATTTTAGTATCTTAAGTTTTATTATACACGCTGTATCTTATATTTAAGGTGATCGATTCAGATTTGGTTATAAGGTTACAGAAAAACTATTGGCTTCGACATGAGTTGTGAGAAAAACTCATTAATTTGTTTTTCTCATTAATAAACTTATTTTTACCAAATATGAGCAAAACTGAGCAAATTGATTTGTATTAAAAATTATTACCAAAAATTAAACTGATCTGAACTGAATTTGGAATAGCTGCCATACAAATGCACAGTTCTATGAGAAACTTGTGTCAATGAACTTTAAATGAAACTGTGTGAAGGTTATTTAGTATTTAGCTTTTTATTTTATTTTACTGTATTTTTTTTATTAGAAAAGTGTTTTTTTTTTTTTTTTGCAATTTAGTATGTATTGTACATTCTAAGTGTTAGTTACTTATGGTTTAGATATTATTGCGGTGAATTTTTAGTAGTAAGTCAATAACGAGGTCACTGACGCATGTGTTCTATGGTTGTTTAGGTTTAAACGATTAAACTGTTTTTCTTAACCCTGATTATCTATTTTGCAAATCAAGAGGGAATAACACGAATTGAGAATGAATGCGACAAATTTAGTAAATTGTATAAAACAAATAGTGATGCTATGTTTAGGCAGAGCAAATATCTTTAACATGTAAATTAATGTACTTGGTTTCAGGACCTGCTATAGACCTAGGTCCCGAACTTATTTATTTTATTGTTAATCGCAAATTGCAAACGAATCGAAATGATATTTGTTTTGTTTAGTTGAAAATTTAATTACTTTATGATCAGGTTTTTTTTAAATTGAAAATCGAAATGTTTAACTAAATAAAAATTATTTATAATAATTTAAGTTTTTCTAGTTAAAAACATTAGTGAAAACCTTACAGAAGAATTATCAGTAAATATTTTTCAAATTTAATTTAGCATCATTTTTTTTTCCACATAACGAGAACTATTTTTGTAACGAAAAATACGTCATTGTTTTAAAATATAATGAAATGTTAGACAGACAAATTTATGGCATATCAGTTTTAGATTCCCATTGGGACCCGTAAAGTTTGTTACTATAATATTATTTAACGTCATACTTTTTTCATTGTGCATTTTATGTCTATACTTTATAAAATTTTGCGATAAGAATAATAGAATAATTACGTACTTAATGATTTTTAAAAGACTTTCTTGAGACTACATAGAGTATATACATTATATTTATTCGCTACATGTGTTTGATGAGTCATCCGAACTATTCACGCTTATTTAAAATTTTGTTTTAAAAAAAATTATGCATATAAATTGTTTATATACTAACACCACTAACATTTAAAATGGAATTACAAAATATGGTATTTTCATTAAGCAGGCAGATCTATTTAATAATTCCGCAATAGACTTGGTAACATAAATGCTATTTATTATTATTATTGATACTATACTTCTGCAAGAAGTTCAAGGTGTCTATGGAAGTTTTGTAGTTGTTTCTGTTTTGTGTCAGTGACCTTATCTCATTTCATTCGTCAATTTAATTTAAAATTGTTCTTCTCTGAGTTATCTGCGGTCAATGACATCCTTTAACAACCTAATGATGTTTATGTATGTCATTATCGTGTATTGTTTTGTATTGAGGTATATAATTTGCAAACTCTCCCATAATTATTGGGATATTTTAAAAACAAAACCTATTATTATTTTCATTAGCGTATAATTTTATCAGTTACAGATAGTTTGTAGGAACTACCAGGTCCATGTTACAGGACTCTATACAAAAAACAACTTGAATGGAATGTAATAGCATAAAATTTGAAAATTTTCACTTTATATATATATATATAGTAATCACTAATTTATAAAGATTTTCTTTTCTTAATTATATGTTTACAGATGTTTAGCCTCTGCTAGTCATCCTGATCAGTTGCTTGCTCTTGTTAGTTGCCAATATAGAGTGACATTAATCATGTATCACTTCATCTTTCTATCGCAGAGGCAGACAGCTTCTACTAAATTATATATTACCCGATACTGAATATTAAATTATTTGCACTAGTTTCTACTAGTCATTCTGATCAGTTGCTTACTGTCGCTAATTGTCAATACCGAGTAACATTAATCATGCATCATATGATCCTGCTTTTCAAAATGCAGACGTTTAATGCGTTATTATCGATTAGTGGGTATCGAATTATAAGAATATGCTGCACCAGTACTTTATCCCATTATTATTGTAGTATCCCGCTGGAAACTGTAAGCAGATAACATGAATGGTTATAGAAGACAATTACATGGGTGGTGAAGTGGGTGGATCAGTGGTTGGGAGTGTTGGAGGGGGAATGGATGGGTGGGATTTAATTGGACGTTAACTTGGGTCCAGACGGAATAACCTGGTAACTTGAATGGGGTGGGTCCAAACGTTAATTGGACGACGCCTTTTGTGCGTTGTAAGATAGGAGAACAGATATGCGAAGTCATGGGGAGTAGAGTTGCACTGTACTGCGCTATATCTTGGTTTTATCCCGTTGTGCTGGATGGTGAAGCCACCAAGGCCGTATCTAGTAGCTTTAAAAGACTTTATACAATTTTTTTTCCTTTCACTATCAAAAGTGATACTATGAAAGTGATGTTTATATCCAGTTTTACGAATATCATTAATAATAATTAAAATAATCAATAGTTATTGGAAAAAGCGGTTTTGGGGTTTTTTTTAAGTAAACCACTTATGTAGATTCTTAAGCAAGTATATTCTTCACTTCCTTCATCCTTCAATTTCGATTCTGTAGATCAATTCACAAAATTTTAAATAGATCGTATATTTATGCTTTAGAATATTATTTATTGTATTGTTTTGTAGCTTATGTCGTTTTACTGTGTTCAGTATTCTTGTCCATTCTTTATTGATGTACAAAATTTGTGATATAGTCCGTCCAATTAAGTTTTAGTATACAACGGTAATAAAATAATTCGAAGGATTCTAGTTTATTCATCGCAAGTCTTTGCAAATTAATGTGTGAAGAAAATATAGCATTTTAGACATAACAATAAGTGATAACAACAACTCTTGAGAATATTATAGTTTATTTATTTCGAAAGTGCAGTTCTTTGGAATGATGTTCATTGAGCTGATATATATTCTATATATTTTTGGGCACTTTTATTTCTAAACTAGTATAAATCTCATTGTACTAGTATGTCTTCTGCTTACAATTATGTACTATGTTTTCTAAAAGCCTTGAGACTTTTAACTGTAATTAGATTTATTTGTGTGTACAATTATTGGATATACCTATATAGATATATAGATAATTTAAAAAAAATAAAGAAATAAATTAGTAGTAATACCACTACTCTATAATGCAAAATAACTAATTTGTTTTTTCTTTTTTTTTTTTAGCTGTAATTGTTTCCATCTATGAGGATCCTGTTCAACCGCAGCAAGCCGCATCGGTTGTTGAAAAACTTGGAGATTATCTTATTACTTGCGGGTATTAGAAAATAATATTACTTAAAAATAATGATAAAAGTAATTATATAAAACTAATATTAAATCAAAAAACAAATCTAAGTATCTACTACAACTATTTTGGAATAATTTCATACAAAAGAATAAATATTAATAATAAATAAATAAAAACGAAATATTTTTAACTTATTTTCGAAATTGTTTAAAATTGATTCTTTTGCTACTAAATGTGTCGAAAACAAACCGTTTAAATATACTAAATAAAGCAAATTATGATAAGAATATAATTAGGAAACTCGTTACACAAAATTATAGAAAAGATCTACATATATTTTTACTCAAACTGGTGGTAAAATATATTGCAAACGGTTTTCAAGAACTTATCAAATTTAAAAAAAAAAAGGAAAAAAATATTTAATAAATGAATAAATAAAAATTATAATAAATAAACATTTTCAGTCTCTCCTACATACAGTTAGTCAATCATTATTATAGATATTATTAAAAATAACACTGAACCACTGAACTTATGTCAGCGGACTGGATGTATGGACTACACAGTTGTACGTAACAAACACATTCATTATGCAGACTAATGTATTTTTAGTAACACAATTAGAAAATATATATATACCATAAGATGTGAATTTGCTGATATATTTTATAATGTTAACATCTCAAAAGAGAGTACAGTCTTTCCTTGATTAGTCCAAAAATTTTAAATATCAAGTTTTATGCATTAATGGAAACAGAAACAAACAAACAAACAAACAAACAGAAACAGGAGAGCGAAACGTAATCAACATCAAAATAATGGAATAATATATTTATTTATTTAAAATTTATTAACGTAAGAAAAAAAATACTTGAACATATATAAATATTAATTGTGGAATCAGTTTTTTTTATATACAAATGTGTGTCGTGTTAACTTTTGCTATAAATATCTACGATTTAGCATATTCGTAGCATAAACGAAATGTAAACGAATGACATAAATGCTTTTTATGTTTATTTTATATGATACGAAGAACTAGATAAAAATGATCTGAGAACATTTAAAAGTTAGCCTCATCAATCCATATATATTTATATATATCTAAAAATATTTATTTAAATATATAAATATAATTATTTGTATAAATATATAAATATAAACATAAATATGTATGTAAATATATGAATATAAATATTTATATATGCATATACATAAATATTAACATTTGTATGAGTATTAACATTTATATTAGTATATAAATATTTTTATAAGTATATAAATATTTACACAAATATATAATTATTTATATAAATATATAAACATAAATATATAAACATAAATTTATAAACATAAATATTTATATAAATAAATACATATTTATATAAATATGTGAATATAAATAATCAATATATGAATATAAATATTCATGTATTTATACGTATATTTATATAAACATTTATATATTTGTATAAATATTTATATATATAATTATATCAATATTTATAAATATATTTATATAAATCTATGAATATAAATATTTATAAATTTATAAATATATAAATATAAATATTTATATATTTATAAATATATGAATATAAATATTTATATATTTATAAATATGTGAATATAAATGTTTTTATACTTATAAATATATAAATTTATATATTTATATATATAAATCTTATAAATTTATAAATATATGAATATAATTATTCATATATTTATAAATATATGAATATAAATGTTTTTATACTTATAAATATATAAATTTATATATTTATATATATAAATATTTATAAATTTATAAATATATGAATATAATTATTCATATATTTATAAATATATGAATATAAATATATTTATATATTTATGAATATTTTGTGTGAATATATAAATATAAATATTTTATATGCAAATATATATTTTTAATATGAATATAAATATTAATTATGTTAATAAGTATATTTGTATGAATATATAAATACAAATTTTTGTATGAATATATAAATATTAATATTTGTATAAATATATATGAATGTATAAATATATAAATACTTATATAAATATATATATATTTATATATATAATATGTTGATATATAAATATGAATATAAATATATATGACTATAAATATATATGTCTGTATAAGAAAATAAATGTATATGTATATATATGGATAAAAATATATATATGCATATATTCTTTTTTATATAGATTTATATGCATATGTGAATATATGTAGTATCTATATATATATATATATCTATAACAAACATAAATATATGTATTGGTATGTATATGTGTTCACAGGGCTAAACATAATTATATTACATTAATACTATTGATTTAAATAAAAAAAAAAAAAAGAATTTGCAAAAACCGCTTTGTTTTAAATTGTTTTTCACTATTTCTACCAAATCCAAAATTTATTCCGTGAACAATTATCGCATATAGAACAATTGGCATATCATATGGGTATACACCCATACAGACTGAGTTCTAATAGTGCTAAATTGCCAAAGAATTAAAAAGTAATTCGCTACTGTGTTATTATATGGTATATTTATATTATACATATATGCATTATAAGTAATTATTGAAATACTGGAGAGGATACCTACGCGACATGCATTATCTAGATTGCGTCAAAATCCAGTTCAAAATTCTGAACATTTTTCGTCGCAGATGACGCACTCAAACTCGCAAGACGTTGACTCTTCGAGAGAGTTTGAGTGCTTAGTTATTTGAGTGAAATGTCGTATAATGGTATATTATACACCAATATACCATATATTGTTTAATATTGGTCATTATTAAGATATCACAATTTGGGCATCATTTTACCTGCGTTGTGTAGCAACAAATTCATGACGCACCACATTTTGTCGCATGTTTGGGCGTGGAACATAATTCTGCAGTTAGGAGTGGTTTTGTTTTTATGAAAGCATGAGTAATAAAATATATACATGGGTTACATACATATATTTATTATAATACAAATATTGTTTTGTATATTATAATACAAATAATGTATTATTTATTATAATACAAATATTGTACTATTTATTATAATACAATAAAAATAATGCTTATTTTGCAATACAAAATTTTGTCGTACGAGAATCGGAGAGAATGGGGATGGGGATTGTGGATATTAGTTACTACAATTTGATAGCAGAAGTTCTCTTTGATATTATTTTAAGAATAATAGATTTTTAGATATATTGTTTAGCAATAATCGTATTGCTTTATGTTTCTCTGAATACTATTATTAGTTTAATATTTTGTATTTATTTGTAATTATGTTTATTTAAAGTAATAAATCTGACTATACGTATTTATAATTTGTGTAATAGTTATAAATTGCGTCTAATATTTTTTAAGTTAAAGCTAATATTATAAATATTAGCTTTTTTTTTGATTAAACTATTTCATTTGCTTATTTATTAAAATTTTATTTTTTATTGTTTAACAATTAAAAAAAATTAATACTAACAATTAAAAATAACACATTATCTTAGTGTATGTGTTTAGTAGAATGGCAATTATAAATATAATATATAAAATAATAATAAATATATTAATAATATATTATCTTATGAAATTAAAGTTTGAGAAATTATATTTACAATTTCATTAAAAACTAACCAAAGTTATACTAATTATATACCATTTGTATATCTCATAACATGATCTAATTCTGAACAATCTGACAGAATGCTGCGTTACAGTAATTATGTTGTGTATGCAACATTGTGTAGACTAATATTAGATTTTAACTCTCTCAAAAATCTGACAGAATGTTGCGTTGCAAAAAACAAATTGCGTACGGGCAATTGTGCGTTCATATTAAACTGATAGCACAAAGCAAAGTGTGAAATGTGCTCAAACTTGGTAATTTTTAAATAAACACTCAAGAGTACGCAAGGTTGCCGTAGAATGCTCTAAAATTTTACGAACGATTTGCAGTGTGAACGCGACATAAACTAAACAAAACCTGCTATTCCATGTGACACTACTTTCAACAGTTCTTATCTCACATTTTAATATGAATGGTGTAAAAAAAGAAAAAAGAATACTAATATTAATAAATAAATTTTTTTTGTTCACAACTTTTTTAAATAAAAAAATCTCTAACTCATTTACTGAAGTAATTAAGTTAAGTATTGAAAGTATTTATAATTTTTTTACTTAATTTAATTCATATGAATTACAAATGAAGCCCCTTTATTCTACTCACGCAAGCTGTTATTACACTAATTAACTGAAATATATAGAAAGTCTTTAAAGAAATTAAGAAATTTAAATTGAAGGAATTAAAATTAAATTAATTTAGCATTAATGACGAAAAAGTATTTCATTTAAGTAATTAATAAGCAGAAACATTTAGGAACTGCATTTTGAAGCCTAAATTATTCAAAAATTCTTCGTATCTATCTCTATCTCCCGAGTACTCTAATAAGTGCTTATTTTCAAGTTTCAAAATGTCGACTTGCGTACATAGACTAATGACTTCAAATTATTCTCATCAACCATTATCAAACCATTTATGTTGCTACACCGAAGTTACATTCCTAAAGATTATTTACTTAATCGAACATTTGTTTTATTAATTAAAAGATTTTTCTGGGAATATATTCAGTAGCTCAGTCTCGTTGAAATCAAAATTCTCTAAGAGTATTTTTATTAAATTTGGAGAACTAAAACGTTCTAGAAAACAAAAATAAGAAAGGTTTAATCATGTTACCACTTCATTAACATCACCAATAGTATTTTTCAAAGTGAATCCGTGGTTAAAGGATATATTTATATATATTATATTTATGTGACCATAACAACCCGTAGCATGTCTCCCCAGGCGCCTCTGCTGCGTGCGCGCCTTCTCCAGTCTCGTATATCAAGTCCAGTTAGTGCTCCCTCAACTTGATCACTCCACCGGAGACTCCGGAGAATCCTTGGTTAAAGGAATAAATTTGAAGGTGTTCTTTTCATTCAAATATTGTCCATCTTCTTCGTTATTAAAGTTATGGAGGCAAAAGTGAATTTCAAAGCTTCATGGTGTGGTACTTTCTAAACATTTGTTACAGGACATTAATTTTGTGATACATATGTTATGTAATTAATTAATATTTAAACCCAGCTTATACTTAGGTCTTTATATTATGATTTGCTAAACATCAATGAATAAAAAGAGAAACATTAATTGATAAAAAAGAAATATAACCCAATGAAAAGAAAAACATTACTTAATAAAAAGAGAAACGTTACTTAATAAAAAGAGAAACATTAATTAACTAGAAGAGAAACATTACTTATTATAAAGAAAAACGTATCTTAATATAAAGAGAAAATCACTTAATAAAAAAAAATTTTACTCAATATAAAGCGAAGTATAACTCAATATGAAGACAAATAGTGCTTGATAATAAGAGAAACATTACTTAATTAAATGAGAAACATTACTTCATAAAAAGAGAAACATTACTTAATATAAAGAGAAATATTATTTAATACAAAGAGAAACATTATTTAATAAAAAGAGAAACCTTACTTAATACAAATATTTCTTTAATTTAATATAGAGAGAAACATTAGTTAATAAAGAGGGGAGTATTACTTAATAAAAAATAAATATTAATTAATAAAAAGATAAATACAACTCAACAAAAAAAACAACATTTCATAAAAAGAATAACAATAAATAAAAAAAAAATAAATAAAATAACAATAAAATAAATAAAAAGAATAAACAGAGAAACATTACTTTAATAGAAGAGAAATATTACTTAATATAAAGAAGAACATAGCAGTATAAAGAGAAACATTACCTAAAAAAAGAGAAACGTTACATAATATAAAGAGAAATATTGCTTAATAAAAGAGAAACGTTATTTAGTAAAATAAGAGAAACATTACTTAATTAAATGAGAAACCATATTTAAAATAAAAAAGAGAAACATTATTTAATAAAAAGAGAAACTTTACTTAATGAAATGTGAAATATAACTCAATAAAACGAAGAATAATACCTAATAAAAAGATAAACTTTACTTAAAAAAAATAATAAATAATAAAAAAAGAACATTACTTAATAAAAAAAACATTGCTTTCTAAAAACTGACATTACTTAATAAGAAGAGAAGGAAAGAGAATCTTGACATAGTTGAAAGATTAACTACCAGTTCTTCGAGTATCGTTATATAAAAAAAGTACCCATTAAGATATTACTTCTTCAGTGGATATATATAAACATAAGCTAAAGTACAGGCGCTACCTAACAGCATCTGAATGGATGGAAAAAAGGAAAAATTAACTTAAATTAATAAATTTAAATTAAATTTAATAATTAGAAATTAGAAACTAAAAATTTCTTTAAGGAAAGAAAATTGTTATTGGAGTTTATCTCTGCAGGAAACTTTAACAAACATTTTCAAAATTAAAGTCTATACAAAGAGAAATATAAATTGTAATAAAGAGAAATATTTAATAAAAAGGAAAACATTACTGTGTGAACAGGCTGTTCTTGATATGGCATGCTTGTAATTGAAGTATTATTTGTTAGTAAGCTTCATAAGACGAAATAATACAACAGTTTCATCGGCATGCATTTCTGGTTTTACGGATCAGGATTAAACTATACTTGACCTTATGCGTCAGTGTCCATCATTGGTTTTGTCAAGTTTTAAAATGTTTGGGGCCCCTGTTCTTATCGATGTGACAAAGCTATTGTCCTACAAATTACAGTTGAATACTAATCCGTGGTATCACAATGACTCATTTTATGTGCGCAAGTGGGCTTTGGGCATAAGTCCGCGATTCCAACCTAACCTTACAGATTGTACAGAAGTGCATATAAGTTTATAATATTAGTAGTTATGGCATTCAATTAAAAAAGTTTTTTTTTTATGGAAATTAGATATTTCTAAAAGTTTAAGGTTTTGGTAAGATTCTTCTGTATGTGAAGCTTTGTTACAAGTCCATATAGATATATTCGATATTTATTTAATAAATTTCATGCAGAGATTTTATGATTTCAAAAAAGAAAAAGGGAACTATTGATATTTCGTAGAATCCAATAATTCCAAAATAATTTTTTTAAAATAATTTTATTATAAATTAAATTTGACATGAAAAATTTAATTGCTACAGCAAAATTTTGGTTCAGTTTCTTTTATGTGCTGGTCTTTTTGCAACTTTCCACGAGGGTGTCATATTACATCGAACCTCAAGCACTCTAAGGAAATGTATTAAGTCGATCACTAACATGACCGAAACGACGAAAATCCAATCAATTACCATGGCATTTTCTTGCAAGCTGCGCTGAGCAAAACGCAAAATTGCTGTCAGTGTTGCGCGCGTATCAGCAGTTTTTTTCGAAAATGAAAAAAAAAAAAAAATAATAAACAAATTTGTATATTTCGTTGCTCAACGTTTGATGAGGAAGTCAAAAAGGCAAGGCAATCAATGCAATGAGCAACGAACGACGAAATGCAAGCTCAACAGTTCATTTTGCTTTCAGTTTATGGACGAATAGCGAATTTCATAATTCCTGACAAAAGGTTTTCTATTTAAGTTTGTGTTGCAAGTGCTTGAGGTCTTCACCATTACTCCGAAAATTAGATTTCTGGAAAATGCACGGTTATAAAAACAAATTTTAGTGTCGGCATTTCAACTTTCTGAACAATTTTTTAGTTCAAGTTGATGCTATGCAAAGAATTAGGAGTCGCGGTCGATATTTTATATGTGCTTCTATTTTGTGAAAATTGAATATCTGTAATACAAAGAATCTGTGCAATAAAATAATAAATATTTCGTTTCGGTGCGTTCGCAAACTATATTGTAAAGAATATGATTTTTCTTACAAGTTTGACGGTTTTTTTTCTTATTCTCTGTAATTCAAAATGTGTGTTAACGCACTCATTTCAGTCAAAAAATGATGATAAGTCTGCACTTACCACTATTTGTGTAAAAATCACACCTACAGATACGGTGGATAAGCCCTACATTATGTGTCCTGGTAGAAATTTGCCACCATTTCCAACAACAAATAGTGACTTCAATACTAAAGATGAGAAGAACAATCCAATAACTCCTTATTCACCCACTACTCAAAGTAATCATCATCTTGATCAAACTGAAAATGGTAAACATATTTCTAAACCAAATATTCACTTATACGACAGCACACATGCGCCAATTCAGTCCCAATCATCCGCCAGTGAAAATAGTGGAAGTAATGAATCCAGCTTTATACAAAACAATAAATATCAACAAAATTTACCTCAACCTGAAACTTCATTTGAATATGGAATGAAAGCAGAACAAATACCTCACCATCAAGATCATCAGCAATACCAAGGAAAACAATTTATGAACACAAATTATGATCCAATGAATGGCCATTCTATTATAAATACTAAACAAAATCATGACGTCAATTATTCATTTCAACCATTTGATTCTTATTTTGAAAATCAATCAAAGGGCAATATGCACGCGAGTATTCAACCAAATTATGGATTCAACCAACAAAACGATCAAAACAATCAAAACAGCTTTACACCACTTTACTCATCGAGTATTCAATTAAGCCAAAATCCAGTCAACGAATATTTCACACCGCAATCGAAACAAGCTCTAATCAAACATAATTCCCATATTGAACAAAACATCAAACCAGGGGCTCACTCGTTAAATATTCAACAAAGCAATAATTTCGGAAATCAAGCAAATGGCTATTCGGAAGCGCAACCCACTCATGCTGTTACTGGATATAACTCCCAAATTAAAGAAAACATCCAATTTGACAATATGCAGCATCACCAAGGCAATGGAAATATGCCAGAAGGTAAACAAAATACTTATTTTAGACCACAATATTCAAACATGCAGCATAATCCATTCAATAAACACGCACCATGGATGTATAGAACTCAGCCTACAGTTGCTATTAATGACCACAATCCAGAAAATAAACAGAATATTCAAACTGCACCACAAACCTCAAATATGGGACACAACATTAATAACGAGAGTCAATTAAACAGAGATCTGTTAGGAATGCAGCCAGCACATCCTGTGCATCCCGCGCATGCTGTTAATAGAAATAGTCCAGAAGTTAAACAAATCATTAATTCTATGCGCCAATTCTCAAATAAGCAACCTAATGTATTCAATAGAAATCTTCCAGGGATGTATAGAGTTCAGTTCATAGACACGATGAATGCACACAATCTAAGAAATAAAGAAAATGTTCCTCCTGCTCTGCAATTCCGGAATATGCAACATAATACTAATATGGAACGTCAATCAAATAGAAATCTGCAAGGAATGAATATAGCGCAACCTATATTTGCTGTTAATGGCTATAGTTCAGAACGTAAACAAATCATGCATCCTATGCTCCAATCCTCAAATATTCAAAGTAACCCGATAAATAGCAATTTGCCAGAATTGTATAAAGTGCAGCCCACACATTCTGTTAATGAATATGATCCTGATAATAAACAAAATCTACATCCTACATTACATTCTTCTAATATGCAACATAAATCTATAACCGAGAGTCACTTAAAAAGTCATCTGCCAGAAATGCATATAGCACAGCCTATACATAATATTAATGGACACAATTTACAAGGTAAACAGAATATATTTTTAAATGCATTTACACAAAATAATCAAAAACAAGCGCAATCTCAATTTAATATTCCAACAGATATATTAAGAACAAATCAACCGCAAGCAGTTCCAACACCAAATAATGCACGGAGTAACATTAATAGATTATATATTTTATCAGAACACTCACCCGAGGAAATCAATAAAATTTTTTTTAATCAGGAGCCTTTGCTAAGTCAATCTCTTTTAACACCAAACCAAAATATTTACAACAATCCAACACATCTCAATAAGCAGAAAGATGGCACAAATCCAATATACAATAACCCACTGATTCATGTACCACAGTTTACTGAAGACAATTATAAAAAAAACCTTCCACAAAGTCCCAAAAATTTAAATGAAAATGTACATTTTGAATCAATCATAAATAAATCAGCAGCCAATGGAGAACTTTCGTTTACACAATCAATATCGGAGAGTCCAATAAAGTTAGAACTAAAACAACAACTGCACTTGCCAATTGAAAAGAGTGCCATTGAATATCCAAATGGTAACCAGACAAAAGAAATACAAACTAAACCCCAACATTTAGAAAGGCCATTAATTGAAGTAAGTAATAGTGAACGTTACCGCGCTGATTTTGATGAAGACATACTTAAATTACCTAACTGGGGTCTTTCATTAGAAGAATTGAAACGCATACCAAATATGCATACCGAAAATCGTAAATTCACAGCACAAACACATGTTCCACGTATGCCACAGCTACAATCGAATTTTGATGAATTTAGAAATGACCCAGTAATGCAACAATTCTATGGTTCAGTTAATACTAAGTCTAAAGAGTTCAATACGTTTAATAGAGCGGATCCCCAAATAGGAGCGAGTCCATTTTACTCTGCATTAAAAGAAACACCACAAACATTCACTAAACTTTTAAAGCCTAAAACTGCAGCATTTCCTAAAGATGGTATTAATACTGAAATATCCTATGATAATTATCATATTGACAATAAGCAGTCAAATAACAAGCAACCGATAATATCGCCACCTTGTAATTATTGTGTCATGCCAATTTCGCAATGCTGTGCTAAACCTTGTCAAACTTGTTCAGTGCAATCTAGTGGCTTACCATATAATACACAACGCTTAAATTCAGGCATTTCAGAATATAAACAACCAGTTGTAGTTGTCTTACCTGTCACTAGTCAGTCTCACCCAACAAGCCCCTCATGCTATGGTAATACATGGCCTACAGTTGGAGCAATTTCAAACTATAATGCACCTAATCCAACTAAGATTGAAAATATGGAAAATTCACCAATAGTCGGTAGTTTTTTATATAATCCACTTACATTATTTAAACCATTTCCAGGACTTAATCCATTTTCAAATTTACTTATGTCACCCCGAAACCCAGATGAAAGCGAGAAAAAAAAATCAGTGCAATCAATTGTTGGTGTACCTTTAGAAGAACATCGGACAGCATCATATAAGCTATCAAATGCACAAGACAATAAAACTGAACCAACCACTACGTCTACAGAAAAAATAGATCAAAACTTGGCAGCTTCTGAGCAGTTTCTTGAAGATACCAGTGTTGCTATAGCCGTTGAGGACGAATACACGGATAGTATTACCTCTGAAAACACTAACATTAACAGCGAAAATCATAAAATTACAACCACTGAAAATATATTATTTTCCGTAGATGATGATATATTAGCATCTTTAGAACCTGAATCTCAAAAAACCTTCAAATCATTAATAAGAACTGCTAAAATTTTTAAAAATAATGCTTCAAAGGAACAAAAACGAGCACTTAAACTGTCATAGGGATGTGTCGACGCTTTTAATTTGTAAACGGTTAGCAGTCATTTTAGAGCCGCAGTCTATATCGATAAAACCTATGCTAGAGCATTGCTGGACTTTATTGTAGAGATGTTGAGAAATTTATTTCTTTAATGTATTTATTTAAATTTTATTTCCAAGTTGTTATGCATTTGTGAATTTATCGAGATAAAGTTTTTTTTTTATTAATTAATATATAAATTAACATGATGTACTAAATTAATTCGAATAGACGATTAGTAACTGCAGAATAATAATTTATATGAATTTTTTATTTAAAAACGAGATTACAGTTCGAAATTGCGGAAATTATTTATGAGAATATAAAAATGAAATATAATTTTTGATAAGACATATATTCCAAACATTCTTATTCCTTAATAAAATCTTTAATGAATAATACTTAATAAATAAATTTGAACTTAATAATAAACAAATTTATCGAATCTTATTTTTTTATCGACATTTGTATAGTTTATGTGGTTAATTGATCATTTTAGTGGTCATTCAGTTAAAGCAGAGCTCGGTTTTCGTTACTAATACCTTGCTAAGGTATTCCAAAACGTGAACTATTCTGTTAAATGGATAGCAGCAATATTTATTAAAAAATAAATATTTATCTGCCATTGAACCGACTAAAGTCAAACGTCTGGTTGAAACTTCACTCGTATGGAGAATTGATTATGGAATAGTCTTTGAACTGCTTTACTTTTAAGTCATAATAGATTATAATTATATTTAAAACTTGTAATTTTAAGTTAGTATACATATAAAACAAAATCAATTCATCACGATTCATACTCACAATGAGATACATCACTATCATTGATAATAGCATCCATTTAATTAAAAATCAAAAATTATATATATAATATAAAAATTTAAACAAAAAAAAGAATTCTAATACAAGTATATAAATTAATTTTAAATTAAATTTAATTTTTAATTTAATTTAAATTATATATATATATATATATATGATATATATATGATATACAAATTTAAAATAAAAAAAAGAATTCTAATCAATTTATGATTTTAAATAAAATTAAATTTTTTATTTGATTTAAATTATATATATATATATATATATATTTTATGTTTAAAATAAAAGGAATTCTAATATATATAATATATTATTTTGAAGCACACAAAAATGAGAAGAAATACTTTTTCGTCCTTTTATCCTACTTTTTCGTTCAGAACAAACGTTCTGAAAATATTTGTAGGTTTCTAAGTTCCATAATTATTTTATAAATACGGCATGATATACTATAAACAATTCTTTAAACAACAGTAAACATTAAGTTTTAGGTACAATAATAATACCATGTAGTAAAAACGTGAACTTCTTTTCTGTATCAGGGCTTTTTAAGTTGGACTAGTATCAAAATGGGTTATGACTGCCACAGTTACAGTAACTTAAGGTATATTCTTTGATTTAGAATTATTACTATTTATTTCAGCTATTAGAGTAAATTTTTTAAAAAATATAGTAATAAACTTACTAAAGAAATTTATTACTGAACCAATTTTCAATTTATGTATGAGATGTCATCATTAATATCTCTAGACCCTTACGATAAGCTATGTTTCATATTGATTCATTATACCTAGTATTAATAAATCAATTTTGAATTTAGATATAAAATGCCATCATTAATACGTCAAGCTTCATACAATAAGTAGCGTTACTTTTTGATTGGGGGTGTAGTACCAATATATCTAGTATTGATACCAATTGATACTTAATAAGTAAGTTGCTCGGACATCTAAACTGAATTTATAATCATTATTACTTAAAACTTAATGAACTTTTATATTAATATTTAATTTGTAAATATATATATATGTAGTATATAATTAATAAAACAAAATTAATAATAAATGGTACGCGAGTATGTGATGAGTGCTTATATAGTCTATATAAAAGTGTGGTTAGTTGAAGTACCTATATACATATATATCAACTATGTTGATATATGAAAATAAAAATGTCTTCAATTTTGCTTGTTTCTTTTAAAAAATGAGAAAATAACCTAATTAATTAATATGATTTTAATTTTAAAAATATTTCAATAAAGCCAAACGTGTAGAAAAGAGTATATTGTGTAAATATATATATATATATATACACTGAGTATTGAGTGAGATTTTGCTACAAGCTACACGTTTGCTTTTTATTTAGGTTTGCTTGTTTATAAAAAATGGGTCGAAAGTGAAAAAGTGCTAAATCAGAGCTTTTGTAACACTCAATTTAGCATTTTTTGTCAGCAAAATCGTAGGAAGCAGAATATGTTGCGGAAAAGCATTCAAGCTCAATTGTTGAAATTGGATACATGTAGTTGGGTTTCGGGATTCAATGTAATTGGTTTAGTTAAGCATATTTAGCAGAGGTGATTATTTTTAAAAAAGTTAAGTGTTAAAAAGTGAAAGTATGAACTTTGCTGGGGCGATAGTGCTGTTATATTTGTGTTGTGTCTTTCAGGTCCCATTACTGCAAGCCAATTATGTGCAGTTTGGTGAAAGAAAGGCATTACCAGGTCAACCGGAATATTACTTGATGGCAGATGCTGGTACTTCAGATGTGGGAGCATATGATGATCTAAAACGCACCCATCGTTCGTTTTGGAGAAATTTATTTACGAACAGTGGTTTAAAAAATTTATTTGGTCGAGATGGATGTAATAATTGTTACAATGAAAATTATGATAATAATAATGTTGGTTATAATGCTATGCCTAGGCAGAATTCTTATGATATGAATACACCTTTTTCGCCATTACAACCACTTCGACAAATTCAATCGTTTCAACCTTTGAAGGCACTAGAACCCCTATTTAGTGGAGCATATCCAGACCTTGGGTTAGATGGTGATGAGGGTAATTATGAAAATAATGAAGAATTATATGGTAACGGATATGCTGGCCCACAAAATATGAACAATAATAATTATGGCGGTCCTGATTCAAATGTATACAATGCCGAAATGCCTTATGGTTCTAATAATAATAGAAAACAAAATTATAATTCTGGAACTTCTGAAGGTTACGGCCCAGTAAGACCAAATAAATATAGTTATAATAGACCTTCCAATAATTACGCTGGAGAAAATGCTGGGAATTATAATGGAAATTTAAATAATTATAGTGAGCAAGGTAAAAACTACGGCAAAGGAAATAATGGAGCTTACAATAATAACAACAGTGGTGGTACTCTAAACCAAAAAGATTGCAATAGTAATGGTTACAGTGGCGGTGATAATATGGCCATGAATAGTGGGTATGATAAATATAATACTAAAGATAAAAACAATTATGACGTTAATAACTATAACAAGAAAAACTTAGGTTATGGCGCTGCGCCATATAATGATAATAAAAATATGAATGGTAATTATGGTGATAAATGTGACGATGAAATGAAAAAAGGAGATTATAGTGTTGCTGGTGGTAAAACCGGTAATGAATATAGTCAAGACAGTAACAAAGCAAGCAAAAGTTATAATAGTACAAAAAAGCATGGGTTAGCAGATGGTTACAATAATCAAACAAATGATAATGATGGTGAAGATGAGGATTATAATGAAACTAACAAATCAAGTAAAAGCAAAATGAACTCAAAACATGGTAAAGGTAAAAAGTATGATTCCGAAAATAATGAAAAGAAAGATAACGATGATGATGATGACTACGAAGAAAACGATGAGGTAAACAAAACTAACAAGAGCTCAAAGTCTAGTAAGAGCAAAGCATACGACTCTAAAGGCAATCATCATAATAAAAAAAATGGTGATGACAATGGTGATAATAACGGTGATGATGATGATGATGATGATGATGATGGAGGTAATGCTGGTGATGATGAAAATGGTAAAACAGTTAAGGGTAGTAAAAGCACAAAGTCTGGTAAGAATAAAATGTACCATAATAACAAAAATGAAAATGATGGCGATGAAAATGGCGATGATGATGACGATGCTGATGACGCTGAAAATAGTAAAACAGGTAAAAGTCACAGTAGTTCAAAGTCCCCTAAAAGTAAAGTCCACAACTCTAAAGATGATAGCCCTAATGAAAAAGAAGATAATGATGATGGAGATGACGCTGATGATGATAATGATAATGAAAATGAAAAATCAGGTAAAAATTATAATGATAAAAAGTCTGTTAAAAAAAAAGAAGATAATGAAGAAGATGATGATGATGATGATGAGAATAAGGGCGATCAAGATAATGAAAAAGATGATGGAAATGATGATGAAAATGATGAAAATAAGTTATATAAGTCAATGCATGAATCGCTTAACGAGGATTTCAATAAAATGAAAATGTATAGTGCAGGTGCTGCAAATGAGGAACGACCACAGCTTTTGTTTCAGCCAATTATATATGTTTCTCCGCAATATCAGCCATCAAAATCGGAAGATCAATCTTATAATAAACAAACATACGGTTCCAATTCCCCAGCTCAAAGCAATATGGCTTATGGGAGCGCTGTTAAGTATTCTGGTGCTGCAGAAAAAGCAGTAAAAGTTCAATATAATAGTGAGAATTCCAAAATGTCTATGGCACCCACAATGGATAACTCGGCAGCTTCAAAAGTAAATTATGAAAGTACCTCATATAATAATGCACCGTCACCTCCATCCAATAATCAACAATCAACACCTTATTTAGCATTAAAGCCTGTTCTTTTACCAGTTTTTAGTCCATGTCAATATTGTAATAATGCACCAATACAACCTATTATCAGTCAAAATGGTTCTCCCTCTTCTATGACAGCATATTCTGCAACAGCTACACGACCAGATTCATCAAATTATATAAATGCAGCTGTAACTAAAGATAACAGCAATGTCGCAGCAGAACAAAAATGTGCTTCATCATCTGCAACTTCACAAGATAGTTATTCCAATAGTAATGATAAATTTTCAATAAAATATCAATCACAAAATCCTAATCATAACGCTTATAGCGGTATGAACGATGAACGCAAACAGCCAAATCAATATCATTCTTCAAATAATATTGATTCATCTGCACACATGAACTCTTACGGAAATATGCAAAAATCAGTACCAGCAGGGGTGTCAGAATGTGGAGGTCATAATCCAGGTCTAACAATCTTTACAGTAATTACTCCTTCATATGGAATTCCTGGTTCAACAGCAAAGCGAAAAATACAATACGATAAACAGTCTTCTCCACCACTCCAATATGCTCCAATTAAAATGACGATGGCAGATCAACCATATCGAGAGTGTCCTGAACTTTTCTCGGAATACAATAAAAACATGGAATATTCTGCAAAATCACCTAAGCCTGCTCTTATCAATGCTCACTACATTCGGTATTGAAGAAATCATTTTTACGACTTATGTTTTTTTATATATAAAAAATTTGTAATCTGAATAAAATTAAAAATAATTTTTAACTTTGTTTAAATTGTATAGTTACGTGAAGTGCAAGTTCAATTAATTGCAAGAAGCTGCAAAATAAACATTGCTGAGATATAAATAATTCAGAGTTTCTTAAGAAGATCAGCTGGAATGGAGCGCTTGCGGTTTTCCTTTGTTCTTCCGTTCTTTCGAGATATATATTAATAAATCGAAATTGAATGCTTTACTAGAATATATAGCTGTACTGAGAATTACATGCGTTTAAAATTACAAGCGCTTCTTTAAAGGCTTTTGCTCCTCTTAATTGCCTAAATTAAAAACTCGTTTGTAAGTAAACAACAATTGGACATACTGACATTATATTACTTTTCATATGCTTCGTAATACAGAAGTCAACATTTCTTCTAAGTTCTGACTTACAACCAAAATAACTTAAACTAATTCCAGATTAAATGTGGCCTATCAGGTAGTTAAACTTATATATATATATATATATATATATATATATATTTTAATGATCTAAATGATCCAAATAGATATAAACATAGAGATATACTTAAACTTTTGTAAAATAGTTGGCGTTGATTTTTTTGTAGATCCAATATCTTTTCTGCAGATAGCTATGTTACGAATTAATTATTTAACCACTACTAACTAAATCGTTTATATAGATATAATTTTTTTAACATAAAATTCAGATCACATTCATGCTTAAGTCAATTAATATCATTCATTTATGCCTAGTGTTGCCTAAACTTACGGATGTCTTGCTACTTTCATAAAGTATATTTAGATTTATACAGAAGATACAAAACTATAAGTGCCTCTTTTCATCATTTGTGGTTTGACCAGTGGCTAGGTTACGATTTTTTTTTTCATCAGTTTGGCTAGATAAGTTGAACGAGCACATTTTTTTTACATCTAAATATTACAGAATATGACAGATTTGATGTTCTGGGTAACTTAACTGAAGTGATTGCTTATTTTATCGTTTGATCGGTTCTTTAATCATGAAGAAAAAATTATCATTTTAGGTTTTTTAATGTCTTCGAGGTCTTTATTTTTTGTTTTTAGAAAATTTTATTTTTCTTATACTTGTCTTATTATTTTATGAATATTTTATGCTAAAGAATTTTCTACCTATAAGAGACCGTTTTCTTGTAATCAACCTTTGAAGTACTATACCTACCACCTTTTTCAACAAAGAATCAGCTTAGTATTATTACATATTAAACATATCTTTTTTATAAAAGGTGTAATAAAAAGAAATTCATTTACATAAAATTGAAGGCTTATTTACCATTGTTAAAATGATCGGATTTAGATCAAATATGCGCCGTTTTATTTGATAACTTGTTGCCATTTTGAAGACAATTTCATTATGCCTCTCTCATAGAAGTACTCGACCCTATTGGCAAAAAATTAAGAGATTTGATTTTCAGAAACCAGAGATTTGATTTTGACCACAAAAATCGGTTGCCATGAACACGAACGGATAGTAATCACTTGGTGCCAGGTCTAGACTATAAGGTAAATCCATAAGAACTTTCCAAGGAAGCTTCCAGAGTTTATGGCAAGTCATTATCAATGTGTTTGGTCTGGCGTTGTCCTGATGGAACACAATTCCTCTTGTCAGCTTTCCTGTTGCTCAAAGCTGACAGTTTCTGGGCAATTGCTTTCTTCAGCAGACTAATTGTTAACAGTACAGTTCCGAATTAAGAGTTTTGCTGTAGGGGAGCAGCTCATAATTTCACTAAACACACAGTAAAACCTTCCTAGGCGTCAATTCTGGCTTAGCAACTATTTCAACCGGTCACCGCGATCAGACCACGATTGTTTTTGCTTGACGTTGCCGTGAGTGCTTCACTTTTCATCACCAGAAGTGACCCGCTTCAAAATTGGGTCAATTTTGTTGCGATTCAGCAGTGGTTTGCAGATATTAGGTCCATTAGGTTATATTGCATTAACTTGTGTACATTGAGCTTCTTTTTGTATACAACCTTATTCAAATATTTCCAAACAATCGAAAGTTTGACAGTATCGATAATTTCGATGATATTACAGAGATTATTGACAATTGGCCTTTTAGTGTATGGTGTGTCTTTGACATCGAAATTACTGGAACGGAATCGACGAAACCAATATTGCGCATAATTGGCTGTTATAGTATCAGGAACATTAACATAATTCACATTTTCAGCCATCTGGCCTACGTTTTCACATATATTAAAGAAAAACTGTAAAATTTGGCATATTTTCTCTTTGCTAGTGTCCATTTTTGACGCGCGGTCGAACTAAACTGAGTCAACCAATTAGAACACTGTCAAAAGTTTTATTTAGTAAGATATATAATATTTCTAACAACATCTAGCATAACCCGATCGGACTTATATAACGCGAGTCACAGATAACTAAAGGTACCTAATGAGAAAATAATGGATTTTTTTTACTATACTTAATATTAAAATTGCAAAAAAAAATATTAATATTAATATTAATTACATATTAAATATGAAAAATTATTGATTACTTCTGGACTTTGTGAAAATGTGCGCCTATAAAGCCCTGCATATTCAGTTATCATAAACTAAGAACTTGTAAAACAAATATAAAAACATTTTATTAAGAAAAACAATAATATATGTTATAATATTTTTGCTCTATGTATAATTCTATAGTCGGGTTTGAAGTCATCATAAATCTAACGTTTCTATAATGTAATTTAGTTAATAATTTATTTTATTGTTCTAAATATGTAAATAAATATGTAAATAAATATGTAAATAAATATATAAATAAATAAATTATATCATAATATACGTATACTAGGATTTCTTAATGAATAGATATCTTTAACATTAGGGGACGTTCAAGTATTAAGTAATTTAAATTTTAGATTGTACTTCTCGCTCTATATATTTGTATGTATTACAAATTTGTATTACACCCAATAATTTAGTTACGTTTATATTATATTGAAACTTTGATAATATTAATATAATATTAATAATTTGATTATATTAATATTTAATAAAATTTGGTTAAATTAATATTATTTTAATTATATCATTATATATAATTATATTAATTATATTATTATTTATAATTATATAATTTATATTATAAGTGATATAAACAATTATATCTGAAATATATTTAATATAGATAATATACATAAATATAAAACACAGGCTCCACGGGGAGGTATGCAGATCTGAGGTCAATTATTGCTTAGTCTGATGAAGAGATAAACAATAATCCAGTCAAGGCGTAAAGAGCAGTTTTAAAAATATCCCGAGTTAAGAAAGAGTAAAAGTGCACTGGGTCAAATAGCTTAAACATAAAAAAAAACACAAAACACAGAAAAAAAATATAATTATAGACTCTGAATAATTATTACTTATAATTACTTACATTATGTGATTTTAATCAATAAGCACTTACCTCTATTAAATAATGTATGTCTATGAAATTCCAAAGAAATAACAATGTTGAATCTATGTAGGGAGACATACCATAGTAGTTCGAGCTCACCCTATTGGTGTATTATATAATATATTATATTGTATATGTTACATATATATTGTATGAAGAATATAATTTTTTTCAATCTCTACACAATCATTTTGTTTCTTCTGCCACACCTGAAAGAATATATTATGTTCTGGAAACAAACTCAGACAAATAGCAGATGAATAGGACTAGTTCTAATGAACACGTATAATGATATTAATATGATTTTTGAAGAAGTTTTTAATAGATTTGAAAATATGAAATCAGGCAAAAAAATATTAGTAAATACGGAAGTAATAAGTAATAACTATTAATTTTTTCAAGAAAGAAAATCCTTTGATGAGTTTAGTCTGAATGTCTAGTACGCATTTGTTATATGGTATACTAATATTTACGATTTCTAAAGTTGTAAACGAATACATATAGAAAAAATGAAGTCTGTTAATGTTTTGTTTCAAAACAAATTTGATATTTTTCTATAGGGCCGTAGTCATTGGAAGTTTCTGAAGTGCCGTCTGTATATAAATACATATTAAGCAACGGCCCTATTCAAGCCAAAGTGAAATGCTACTTTATAAAAATGTTTGAAATACTGAAAATCATGTCAAGACTTTCTAAACACTAAATTACCATTAGAGTCAACCATTTACGTTTGTAATAATCATAATAGCCCTAACACTATACGTATCATTTCTAGTATGTATAATTCATTAGAATCGATGTCCAAAAATATGTATTGGAAGTGATCCTTCTATTTACTATAAGAGTCCAACAAATATCAAGGTTTAAGAAAAAAAATAATTTGTCCTTGTATAAATTTTTTATTTTCCGTTGAGCTTTAACATTTAATTTTTATTAGTTAGTTAGTTTTAGTTAGTATCTATTATTGGTAATATTGATGATTGTTAAAAAGTCCTTGAGGTATATATGCTATAGCGTATTGATAATTTCCATGCAGAGGGTTGGCGTATGTTGGAACTGGTACTGAGTAGGCGCCTTGTGAGCCATAAGAACCGGACGATGAGGCACATGGTATAGCTGCTAAATTAGGTTGACAGCTGAAGAGATAATTTTTTGGGCAAGCCGGAGCTGGAATACTGCCACCTTTGCCACCATAACCACCACTGCTTCCTCCATAACCAGCAGATTTACGCAAACGGGTCAAGTCCACTTTTTGTGCGTTCTGCTCAAGATTGACCGATGGCAGTAAATCAGTTTCTAGGTCCTTACTAGCAGCTGGCGCAACAGGCGTACCAATAGCGGCTTGCAATACCACTGCAGCAATGAAAAAAATATATACGAACGATTTCATATTAAAATTTAGTAAAGAATCAAACGAACACTGATAGTTTTCTTAGATTTAGTTAATGTTTTTATAGCACCTTAAGCTAAATTGAGTTGAGAACATTTCAGTACCCAACCAAATCGTTTCATTTCAATAGGTCAGCTAAATTTTTATTTAGATTTTCGCTACGCAAACTATTTTGAAAAGTAGATAAAAATTTATAAGACATTTAAATTTAAAAAAAGTGTTCCACTTAGTTTAAGAAAAAAAAAACAAAAAATTTGCAGAATATTTATTTCTGCATAACAAAATGCAATGACCTAATTATATGCAATAAACTAAGTAATAATTTCATTGCATTTGAATCCAAAAAAAATCAGGTGAACTAAAAAGATACATTACATTTTCGTAAGACTGTCCATTCTATTTCTTACCATGAATTGTAATTATTAAATTTATATAAAAAGACAATATGCGGCATTTTGCCAATATTAAAAATAAAAGAATATTTGTCCTACTTAGAGTTTGGATTTCGGTTTAATTCATTAATAATAAACTGAATAATAAACAAAATCTGCTGAAAAAAAAAATTAAAGAAATTAAACGAATAAAATTTAATGAAAATAAACAGTAGTAATAATTATTTGGAACATTAAATGCTATAGAAAAAATAGTTTTTTAGAACGAACGGTTTAAGTGTCTTCAATCAGAGAGTTGAAGATATTTATTAGTATCTTCACACCAGTTTATACATATGTCTGAGAAATACCAAATGGTTTCGGTCGTTGTAGCCTTTACTATTTATTTCAAATATTTAAATATCAGATTGACGTCAAATACTGATTAAGAATAATTATGGATGGAAGGAAGTGTGTTATTGAAATGGATTTTGGTCAATAATTTTTGTATAAAACTTTGGACTGCGAAGTATTTTGCATACATATAAATCATATATATATTCTTAAAAGCATAATGTCTTAAAAACATTCTAAATGTCACTTATCGATGAATCTATTAATATACTCCGGACACAAATGTTCAATTATTAACCTTTTTAGCATTTTTTTTTACAGCTGATATATGTATGTTTAATTATGATGCCAATACTATTATAAATTTCAGACGATTTTTTAGACGATCTAAGAGATATGATCTCGGTATCGATATTGGTGAATCTATTAATCTACTCGTAACACATATGTTCAAGTATTAACCCTTTTTTATCATTTTTTTTACAGCTGATATATTCTTAATCTAAAGCTAACACTGTTATAAATTTTAGACGATTAATTGGACGATCTAAGACATATGATCTCGGTGTCGATATGGGTTGATTTATTAATCTACTCCTGACACAAATGTTCAAGTATAAACGGTTTTTACCGATTTTTTTACAACTGATATATGCTTAATCTGAAACCACATTTTTATTGTTTTTTTTTTTTATTACTCCTTTTACTTTTTAAATTAAATATAAATATATATATATATTTATATATATTAGGATCTCACTTCCTTCGATTCCATTTAAATGATGGATAATGTATATTGAAAACGAATAATATTGAGTGTCATTTGCAGTAGGAGAAGACATTTTAAGGTGTGGCGAAAGATACAAGAATACAAACCACTATAAAATTGGAGTGTTACGGTTAGACTAATTAGACTAATTATGGATTTCTAAATATGATTTAGTAGTATTCCATTATATATAATAGTAATACTTTGCATAATGATTTCTAATTACTTTAAATAATAAAGCATCTTTTTAACATTGATCTTGTGACCAAAAAGTTGTTATTGGTATGAATGTTACTTAAGTATAAACAAAAAATAGTTTTCACCATTTTAAAACATTTAATATTAATCAAAAATTTTACATATTATTTAGAACAGTTTCGTAAAATATTACAAATAAAAACTTTCCACTAGGATTTTTGAATTAATACAGCTAATGCTATAGAACATACGTTTACTATTAATATATATAGAGAAGTTATATATAATGACAATAGTTATTGACAAATCAGATTAAGAGTGTTGTTTCAACGGTTGTAGAAGAGGGCCCGTTTTAAGTCTTACACCTATAACCAGTCTCTCTGAACAGCACTGTTTTTTAAATAAAAGAGATTTGCATTATGAAGATCATGAAGTGCTTTTGTCTGTATGCAGTAAAAACTATTATTATATTACCTAATAATAAAAAAGCTTTTAATATATATGTTTATTAAGCTTCGAAAAGCTTACTATCAAACTTAGTTATTAGTCTGTGAGTTGCAAGTAGCTTATCATTGTGTTTCGAGCTTAATTTTCAACCGATTTGTCTCTTTAATATCTGGTTACAAAGGTTTTCGAAATAGCTAATGATGCCGATCGCTCAGGCTTACATAATTGACAAGGGATTTAATAAAGCTATATAATGTCAATATGGCTTCGTTTCAGAGATATTGGGTTTTTAAATTTTTACCAATGTAACCAAATTAAAAACTAATGTAAAAGTTGCACATACTATAGTTAACACTAGATCACATTTGTTTGTAGTTAGTTAGTATGATCATTTAACAAATTTAAATCTAGATATTTTGAGAAATAAGCTATGTCGACATATAAAGTAAAAAAAAAAGTTGTTCACAATAACTAACTAAGAAACCCGTTTTTAAATTAGCGATCTCCGGAAATCGGAATCGAGTAAAAAATTGTTGCTTTCGAGACTATAAACTTTAATTTTGCCAGAGAGACGTCATTTAAGTATTATATTTCTCTAAAACTTCAGTGAAATCATTATTTTAATCGATGACATATTTTTAGGCGGTGTGCTTACTGAAAATATAATATTTTAACATGGTCGTATATAACTTGAGTCACTTTAATGTTTATTACTATATATACATTACCGGACCTGTTCTGTGCACTTTATAAACTTGTCAAAATTGACTGTTGTAAAGGTTTTGGTATAGTGTGACATAAATAAAAAGCTCTTTTCCTTGTTAGTTGTCAATACTACAAATGCTGTTGATAACTATAAAAATATGCTCTTTTTAAGCATTTTTTTATTATTTGCATGCTTGACAAATATTCTTAACTAAAATATACGCTCTTTACAAGCATATTTTTTATTGTTATTTGAATGCAGGAAAAATGCTTTTGGCAACTTAAAATATGTGCTCTTTACAAGCATTTTTTACGAACAGTTACGAACAATTACGAACAGTTTTCTATACAAAACACTTTACACCATAGTGTGGTGAGAAGCACTAGGTACTTAAGCTTTGAAATTTGTCAAGATGTGTCCAGAATACCAAAGAGCTTTCTGCTATATAAAAATCAAAAATTTTATTAAAGAATTTGACAAATCTGTCAAGTGCACAAAATGGGTCCGTATATGTGTATATATTATTAAATACACAAAAAAAAGATCATTACTCAATTTAAATTGCATTAGTTGCTTTAAAAGTAGATTCTAGATAGATTCAGCAATTTATCCCATCGTACATAAATTTTTCGTAAGCTTCTATGGATTCGAAACGAGTTTATCAAAGAAAAAACTTCAGGTTTAAAAATAGAAAGAAGTCACGCGTGTCCATGTTTGGTTACTTTGGTGCTTTCCTGTTCTTTTAGCGTCCTGACTGTAATTTAGTGCAGAATGCAAGCCGAAATGTATGCGGATAATCATATTGAAAATCAGATTCTCACCAGGCTTTGTAGTCAAATGCGCTTTAGAAAAAACCCGTCTTTATTGATTTGATTCTTATTAAAAAAATAAGACCATAATCGTTTCTGAGTAAGGCTCATAATAGAATTGGATCACTTTTCCTCTAGCAACTACACATCAAGTTTTTTTTTCCGACATGATTATAAATTTTGATTCTGTAGGTCGTTATAAACAATTTGGTAAAGAAGTGCCCCTGAGTAGTAACAAATTATGAATTTAAAAAATAGTTAATACTAGTTTTACAATGCATTTAGTTCGTTTACTGACATTCACTATTACAAAGTCCACTTCTATCAACTTATTGAAATATAACATTTAGTCGTAAATGTTATATTTAAACATAGGTATAGGATCACAAATAAAATGAACCTTATTGAACGTATGAAGCATCAACGCTAATTAAACCTCTAAACTAAGTTACGAATATATAATTTTCATAATTGATTAAGTGACATTTGATTCAATTTTCCAGAAGAAGATCTCAAATAAGTGCTTCTGATAACAGTTTCGCGATCAGGAAATAGTAGATTTTTTTATATAATGTCTTTGGAAATTATATCTTATAGAGTCCGTTCCAGGCAAGGTACTAAAAAAGTTTTACGTTTAAATTAAAGGATATTAAATTCATAGTATACTGTACCGCTTTGCTGTCGGTGTGGCTTTTTGTGTTAAGTTATTCTGGTTGAGAACAGTATTGAGTTTTTAAAAGGTTATGGTATAACGAAATCCTGCAACAAATTCTAATCCGGCATGGATAATGATACTGTTATCCAAAATAAATTTCTAGTCAGACTTATTGCCATAAACTAGTGTCAATTCTCATTGACATCGCACAATACTTATAAATATACTTTGTAAAATCAGCTGATTTGATTACAATGGAGTATGAAATCGAGGTGAAGTGTTGGTCGTTATAAACAATTCGATTAAGAAATGTCCCTGAGTAGTAACAAATTATGAATTTAAAAAATAGTTAACACCAATTTTATAATGGCGAAAATATTAGTTTTAATTTAAAACTCAGACGGTTTTTATATTTATACAACTTGAATGAGTTAAGTAGACTCCAGGGTCTAGAAACTCAACCTTGATTTTCTACGATTTAAACTTTAAGGGCTATACTTCAACTCCAAGAGTTTACTTTCTTATATATTATGGGTTATCAACTTCAGTGGTTTTAAGAACCTCTACATCAGTGTTTAAAAATATTGATTTAAAACTTAAAAAAGTTTTCTGGGTTGAGAATTTAAACTAAAATTTTTAAAACGTATATTTTGTTCCTTTACTGACATGGAAAATAATAACGGTATTTTTTACGCATGATTTTCAAATGATAATTTCCGGATACTTTTAATACGGAATGAATTCTATAAAACCCATTTTTTTTTTCAATCAAAGTGCATGATATAAAAATTATGTAGACTAGTGTATTAAACTAGAATTTATGTTTTTAGAGTCGCACAGCAGGCACACTAAGATATTTATAACCTTTAACATTGTGTATTTTTCGATTGTTGATCATACAAAAAAATCCAATATTTTTGATCATATGCTGCTCTCCCGTCGGCGATTCGTTACGCTTCTTAAGATAAGCTACTAATCACAGCTTCATACAAGTAACTACTTAAAGACAACAGATTAGTTGTAGTGAGATTGTCCCATCGCTTGGTTTCTTGTTCGCATCTTCAGTTTATTCAGTGCGAGCTGTCTTAGGTTAAACAGCTCAGAAATAATTTCGGAATATTAAGTGTGTGAGTTTAAAATGTTATCAAACTTATATTCAATAAATGAATATTGCTAGTGAAAAGATTTTACAATATGATATAGTTGTCAATATGCGATAGAACGAGAGAAATCATAAAAAAATTGTCGAAACACGTTTTAAAAAAAATTATTGCAAATTTTTTTATTTGTACTAATGAGGCAACCTAAGATATTCTGTTTGAATTTCGTGTGTATAAGTGTGACAGTTTAGCTTAATAATTATCTTTTTAAGTAAAGTTTTAAATTATTTATTATTAAGCAACATTTACTTCATTTACTTGAACTTGAGTTTATGTTATATATGCCGTAATTAATAGTCTTACAGAAGAACTTACATCATAAATACTAGAGCGGCGATTCTCAGAATTTCATTGCATGTCAATATTCATTCAAATGTATAACAATCTTAAAGATATGAAATTTGTTTATGGGAAATTCATTAAGAATAAGTTCTGCTAACAAACAATGAGCTGGTATTTCAGGCAGAGGGCTTTGAGAAACCAACAATAATCTGACTGATATACATAGCACTTAATCAACTTAATGTTGAATACTCTCTTTTAATTCATATATATTCGTATATATATTGGTAATGTACTCCTTGACATACTTCGTTGTTTTTGTTTGGAAAAATATTCTCAAGGTTTAAAATTAGGGAGATGTGATGACTTACTGCTAAAAGGGTTTTTTATTGTAAATTTAATATATCAATAAAATCATTTCTATTAAAGAAATTTAATTAATACATTAATAAGGAAGAAGAGCTGTGTATACTACTGTAAGACTACTGTATGTACATATATTATTAGAGTGATGTATAAACATAAATGAAAGAAGATTGCTGTAAGTAAGTTTCAGAATTTTTCTTAATTTTAAATAAATTAATATGTAGCATTATTTTTGCTTTGAAGATACCAACTAAATCTGATTAAATTATTTGATCAGTAAAATTTCAAAACAAAATGCTTTAAAGTTTTTCGTTTCTTAAGAATTGTTATCATTATTCTTATCTTAATTAAAGTTAAACTTTTTTATTTTGTTAATGATTACATATGATGTTTACCAGGATTTTAGTAATACTCAAGTAGTATATGTTTTGATATACTCTTATTGATACTAAGGTCGTGTGCGAGTTAGGCTAAGTTGCGTTCTAAATGAGGGAAATTCTAAGTTGAGCCGATAATGTAGTGATGTGTCGATACGTGTTGATAAATGGCAAAATGTGTGCAGTGCAAAAAATCCCAAAAAATCTCCCATTTGGTTTAGCATCAACTTAGCCTAACTCGCACACGACCTAAGTGGGGAATTTTCGCTCTACAGCCTGGAGAACTGTTGTACCCATGGTTTGACATTCCATTCACTTATTGTTATAAAGTGGGAAATTTCGCATTACAATCTAAAGATATGATAGAGTACTAAGTCTATAGCACTTTACTAAGCCTAATTATGTATTTCTTTTAGTTTATAGATCAGCGCCGGGTAAGCCCCAAGCACTTTTTTTGCGGTCTCACTCTCTCTAAGTACAGTTAATTATTTTTGTTAGCAACTATTTCTTGTTTATATAGATTATATGAATAGCTTATATGGATATTCAAAAGAATAGGTTTCTTTCGGTTAGTTATAACTGATAATAATTAATTAATAAATAATAACAATTATCTGTATTTACCATCAGGGGATTAAGGTTGAATATGTGTATTAATAGTTATTTATAAAATAGTTATTTCAAAATAAATTTTATGTTATTAATTATATAAAATTACTTAAGATGTTAATTTTAGTGATAATTTTATAAAATTATATTATCTTTAAAATTTTTCATTTTTTTTAAACGTTTTGAGGAAACACATGGGTTCTACTTCGGACTATTATCGCACAGCATTGCTTTATGTTATTTTGAAGGCGTTTTTCATACATTTTTTAAGAAGTTGAAATCTTTTGAACCTCTTGATATTGTTTTGTCCAAAATCTAAATTAACAAATGTTGTTTTTATTTCCATTTGTTTGTGAACATGTTTTTGATTATCTAATATAATTTTTAATTGTTTGATTTGTTGAGCAAGAATTTCACGAATATGATTTTCAGTTTATAATACTTTTTTCTAATTTTATGTGTGAATAATTTTTATATTTCCTTTTTTTACAGACTAAATTGTTCAAAATGTTGCAGAAGGCATGTTTTGCTTTGGTGATAATTTTCGTTTTCGCGTGTCAAGCTCAAGAGGTTCAGCTAGATGATCTGATTAACAATATTTTTAAAAATGGCAGTTCTTTTCCACCAGTGCCTACAAAAGTGACTGTGCTCAATCCAGTACCAACAGTAAATAGAAATGAACCACCAAATCCTACACCCGTAGAACCAATTCCAGAAACTAACAAGTACAAATCATGTGGTCTGAATCGGGAATGTGTTCCTCGGTTTCTGTGTAACAATGGTGCAATTATTGAAGATGGTCTAGGTGTTATTGATATACGAATTGATAATGAATGCTCTTATTTGGAGGAGTGTTGTGATGTACCGGATAAGGTAAATTTATGACTTCTCAAAAAAAATATTTCTGAAATATTTTTATCTATTTGTAGATTACAGTTCCAATTGTAGATCCAGTGCCACCAGTGAAGCATGAAGGGTGTGGTTATCGAAATCCTATCGGTGTAGGTTATAAAATAGTTGGTGACAAAAATAATGAAGCTCAGTTTGGTGAATTTCCTTGGATGGTGGCAGTATTGAAAAAAGAAGAAACAATTAGTGAAACTTTAAATTTGTATGAATGCGGTGGAGCAATAATTGCTCCAAATGTTATCTTAACTGCTGCTCACTGTGTGTACACAAAAAAATCAGATACATTAGTTGTACGCGCTGGGGAATGGGATACGCAACATACAACGGAAATACTACCCTATCAGGATAGATATGTTACCGAAATTATTGTTCATGAGCAATTTAACAAAGGTTCTCTTTATAATGACATTGCATTGCTTATTACGAAAACTCCTTTCGATTGGGAAGAGAATATACGACCCGTATGTTTGCCTACTGCTAACATTAACTTTGATCATTCACGCTGCTTTGCAACGGGTTGGGGAAAGGATAAGTTCGGTCGAGAGGGGCAATATCAAGTAATTCTTAAAAAGATTGACATGCCTGTTGTACCAAATGATCAATGTCAAAGTAATTTACGTTTAACACGCTTGGGCAAATATTTCCGTCTTCACAGCAGCTTTATATGTGCTGGTGGCGAAAAAGACATGGATACATGCAAAGGAGATGGAGGTTCACCTTTAGTGTGTCCAATAGTTGGAGTTAAAGATCGTTATTACCAGGCTGGTATTGTTGCATGGGGTATTGGATGTGGTGATGAAAATACTCCAGGAGTTTATGCGAGTGTTTCAAACCTACGTCCATGGATTGACCATCAATTATCTCAAATAGGCATTGACTTTAAATATTTCACACCATAAAGACATTAATGTAAATAAAATTTACATAAAAATATATTGAAAAAGTTTTCATGCATTTTGAGCTATATGGGATTTCTTCATTATTATTACAATTGTTTAGAATATTGAAGAGCTAAGCAAATTAAGGTTTTATGGCATTTATATGAATAAACCCCTAACAAATTTGGGTGGCTCGATTTTTGTTAGGTGTGCTTTATTTAAATAAGAGAAAATGGACTGTTATGTTTGGCAGGTAGTGATTGAGATGCAATAAACTCATTCCTTCATTCCTTCAAATATTCACCCACTTTTCGTAATATCGTTTGAAATACATTTTTATCACCCCTAAAAAATGTATTGATATTTAAAATTTTTGAATATTTTTCTTATGTAAAATGATCAAAATGTTCACTTTCGAATGATATTTTTCAGCTCTACAATTACCTCAAGCCTGTTGAAGTTAACCCTACTTATTGAATAACTACTAAGAAAGAATTTTATTGATTTTATTGAACTTCTAGATGGTCAACTAATGTTTACGTAATATATATATCAGCTTGTATTGCATTTCTAAAGACTGCATTACGACCCTTGCCAAAAACAAACAGTTCTCCATTCCCTGGCACTATTTTAGTGACATATGTCAAATAGAACTGTCATCCACGGTATCAACTAATTTATTTATTTATTTTTAATATTGGGAAGTATTGCAAGAAATTCATATATTATAAAACTCAAAATAAGACTATATGTTGATTTATGGAGTAGAAAGTTATGAACATAGTGGTAATTATATATGTAAAGTCCTTGAAGCACATATATCACCATTACTTCAAACCAGCAAGAAACAAAAATCGTAATACTGGATTTTGAATACTGGAATACTGGAATCGAAAATACCGTTTGCCCACTTTTAAATCCTTTAATATAATAAACTTTTATAAGCAGAAAGATAAAAAAATAAAAATTTAAATGTTAAATATAAAGGTTCTAATTTGATATAAATATTTATATTAAAATCATAATTTATGTTTAATAACTTACGATATATTTTGTGTGAATTTTTAGGTAAAGAGTTACGAAGCTAATGAGAATTATAAATAAAAAAAAGCTGTATCGCATACTGTATTTATAATTCTCATTTATATGAAAGGTTTACGAAATGGTAAGTAGTACTGTAATGACTTTTTGCTCGTAGGTTATACTAGTAAGAAATAAAAATATTAGGTCACTATGGAATAAAAGAATTAGTGTTATATGTGTTGACATATGCCTAAATGAAGGAGTTGGTTTATTATTATATTCCTATGTGGATCGTTTATAATTTTTTAAATTTCTAACATACATCGAATCTGTAAAAATGTGGATCAAGATTGTGAAAAATAAGCGCTTCTAATGCAAAAGCATGTGTAGGCAGAAAGCAAGATCATTTTGCACTAATATTTGCAAAATTTATGAGAGTAATATTTGAAACCAAAGAAGATGATCCCATTTGATATTACACGTAATCTCTTTATTAATCTCTTATCTGCCGTTTTGTGAACATGTCATTATTCAGGGTTGAGTTTCGTGCAGTAAAAAAAATTTGAATTGCCAATATCAAGCCCTCTAATCAGTTTGTATGTCAAAAAATCATAGAGAGTAAGATTTCAAATCATTTAACTTATAACTAAGCTGGAGTTTTAAGGTTGCTTCCTATTTCATTTTCAATCATTCAACCTCGAAGTATTTGTCAACAGATAAGGGTAGCAGAAGCTCACTTTCAACATACAGAACTGAAAAGCTCTTCCAAATCTTAAGCTTCTACGGCAGTTCTTACATATGCACGATGACCGAGATTCTTTTGTGGTGCATCAACCTCCTGTGTCATTCAAAGACATGAATGTTGCGATTTTAGATATCTTTCTCCTACGGTCATTGCAGTTGAAATGTAAAATTTTAAGAAAGGTACTCTCGATTGTATAGGCTATACTTGTATGTTGTGAGAATGAATGTGTTAATTGAGGACTTATTGGTGATTGTAGACGAAATTTGACTTTCAACCACGTCATCAGTTAAATCGTGAGCAAAATTTAAAACAGATTTAACCATTATAGTAGACAACGCTCTATTACATTTTTTGCATATTTGAATTGTGGCCAGATTAAGAGCTGTTCATGTCAATATGTCGATCAAGAATGTGGTAGTACGTTATTATTTAATGTCACTGGTGGACAGTAACCATGGTGAAGAGTGAATGTGGTTTGTGCAGATTTAAATTCGTTAGCTTTAATGGGTCATTTATTTAGTCACACTTGAATGCTCTCTAGATTCGTTTGCAACTGACTAGCAGCGATTGTTGGCCCTTAGCCATGATCACTGTGTCATCAACAAAGGTTGCTTTTTGGTCTTACTTGTTCATTTAATTTCTTGTATTGTGATTTTTGGGATGGGAATATCCATTTGATTTGGTGTTTGCAGGAAAACTTAAATTTTAGCGTCGTTTTCGTGATTTCTGGACGGGTATGGTTGAAACACACTTTGGAGATGCTTTGCGAACGTTTGAGCGTTATAAATTCTGGATCTTGCCCACACTGTCCATTATACATTTTAAGGCGAGTAGCAAGTCATTACGAATAGTCGGTTGCTTCATTTAGAGACAATTCAGATAGGTTTTCTTCAATGTTTTTATTTTTGTTTTCCCTAAGGGTTTGTTCAAATTTTTTTATCATTTTATTTAAACGTCTTTTGTTTTCACGATTTTTTATTACTTGCCAAATCGTCGCAATCTACGTTTTCAAATTAACTGGTCCTTTATGCCTTTATCTATGTGCTCTTCTATGAGTTTCACGCGGAATTCTATATGGTTGTATCGTTACCGGTGTTAAATGGGATATTGGTTGTTAAATTTTCATTTATGAGGCTTCTGAAAATACTATAGTCAATCCTTTTGTTGTGTAATCGAGGCGCTTTGTTCTTTAAAAAAATTTTCTAGTTTATCTCCATAATAAAGGAAGAGGCGTCCAAAGAAAGGACAAAACTAAAATGTATGGATAATAGCGAGCTAGAAATGTCTTTAAATATGCAAAAATCAATCACGTCGTGGTCTACAGGCCAGTTAGTTGATTCACCAGTTGTTCGTGGAGCAAATTGTTAGCCTTCACAGCCTTTAACAATTTGTGTCCTCTTAGTGTGATTAGCCTGTACCCCAGTGGGTATGATTTGCATTAAAGCATCCAGCAGCTATAAATGTTTTACCAAGCATGTGGAAAAATTCCTGAGTTTTAATTTTTCGGTTTGGTGGCCAACGTTACTGATATTGTCTGAAGAAATGGTTTTTCGTGTTAGATCCGTGTTTGGTTGGCGCTGTATATAGAATATTTCGGAACTCTGAGGTGGCTTTTTTGGTTGAAGTAGATTTTAGATATTAATATAATATCAATATTTTAGTCAGTGAGGATGGTCTTAAATAAATTTATTTTGAATAAAAAAATATTACTTCTTAAATTTTGAACATGAATTTTTTATAATGGATTTGTAATACATAATAGTATAATACATAAAGAATATAATTCAAACAGTTAGAGCAATTAACTTTTGCAATATCAAATAATTTATGGTCTAATATAAGTTGCTTTACTGAAGTAACTTTACCATGTTTATAAACTTATTAGAATAAGTTTGCTATTCTTTTCATCCAATAGATTGTAATCGAAACAATTTTCCAAATACGAAGAAGATATTGTATTTATTTTGTGGTCTTATCATATCTTGTTGTGCCCTTAGCTTAAATATACATCTCTAACATATACATATCAGCATAATATCCTTTGAAATAACTTCGTTGATAAATTTGCTCCATGTATTTTATGAAATTTTCTTTCCGTACCATGCCCAAGGAGAAAAAAGATCATATAAAATTAAAATTATATAAAAGTATAAAATTAAATGCTCTGTTAACTGCAAATTTATAAATATATATATATATATATATATATATATATATATGGCTGGACTGTCATATTAAAAAAAAAATATGCTTGTTTTTTCAAAGGAACTTTTTATTTATTTTCCGAACTTTCAATTGATTGTATTATACCAAAAATTTAAATAAAACATTAAGCAAAAGTGTATATATTATATCAAAAAATTTTAATTTAGTTCGAAATTATTGATTAGCAAGTATTTGTCAAAGTCCATAATTTTTTCGGCCAGTAAAAGTGAAAGATCAACTAAAGTAAATTCAGTTTTGGCGAAGTAATCCAATAAAGTTAAAATAAATTTATAAAAGTACTAAATCCATTAAAATTATTATAAGTACTAACAATAAAATCGAAACAGTTTTAAACAATAGTATCCAAATAGTATTATAGGATACTAAAATATTACTATTATATTACTATATAATTATATGAAATAATATTTAAATAGTTATAGTATCCAAAATGGTGCATTTGACTGCATTTGATTGGTTTGGAAAAAGGCGAAAGTTTAAAAATATTGTAATTCAATATAAAAAAAATTAATATATTTAATAAACGGATTTTAAAACAACAACGAAATTAGCAAAATAAATATCTATAATGAAATTTAATTTAAAGATTTTTCTTAGCTGATAAATGGTGACTTGTACCTATGCATAGCAAAGAGCTGGGTTTGGATTCTTGTGATGGCAAGTTAAAAACTTCCCTCTAGAATCTTCATACCCAGATATTTTTTTTGAAGAGCACATCAAAGTGGAATAGTAAAGGAAAAAGTTTTCATATCTTAATGGTGAAATGAATTTTCGGTCATTTTTTTAAAATATACATGACAGACTTTTCTGGCAAAACAAGGTTTGTTATACCAAGTCTTTCAAAAAGTACTAAGCATTTCTTAAAGAAGTAATTGATTTCTCGGATTAAAAAAGAACATTATTGTATCTAAATAAAAATTTTTCTAATTATATATGTATAGATTTTGCTTTTCAAACCTAGGACAACTTATTTTATTAACTGGTTTAATTTTTTACCATTGAATTAACAGACAAAAAAATTTTTCAATGCTTAGTTCAGGTTCTAGTTCCCAGACTTACAT